GGTTTGCACAGCTTATAAAAGGTAGTAAGCTTATGCTACATGAGAATGTTATACAAGCAGCTCGCATTCGTGAGCTTAAAGAGCAATTAGCAGTACTTACTAAGCGCAAAACCCGGAAAAGAAAGCAGATCCAGCATAGTAGTATAGTAGAGTATAGTGAAGCAGCAGCTTCTATAGCTAAAAGCGCAGCTGCAGCTCGTACAGTGTTAAAAAGAGCGCGTGTTAGGAGTGGTCATGAAAGAGCCCAACCAGGTCAACAGCACTGTAGCAACTATAGGAAGACTGGGCACAACGCACGTACATGCCAGGAAGATGCAGAAGAAGATTCTGCATCTAATAAAAGTGCGTCGTACGCAGGTTCTGCAAAGGGTAGTAAGTAATTACTTATCCTGTATATAGTGTTCGCAGTGCCAAGGAAAAGTAGCCGGCTCGCTGGTGTAGCCGGCTCGCTAATGCTTTACGTTATACTAAGGAAGAGAAGTTACTTATAACTTTTAAGATAAAGGTGCTAGAGGCGCCTACTATCTTTACTATTAACCTAAAGAATATTTAGGCTCTTCTTACTATATAATTTAAGAACTTTAGGCTAGGTAAAAGAAGGAATAGAATTCTATCTCTACTTCTTAGATAAGGTATAGTAAGTAACTTCTATCCTTTTACTATAATAATATAATTAAAGCAGCACTAACTAGTCTTATAGTTCTTAATAGATAGTATAGAATAGTAGCATGCTTATAATATGCTAAGACCCTAATTTGCCTATAAGCTAGTTAGTAACCTTAACCTTAAGGAGTAGTATAGTAGTCTATAGCTTAATAGCTAGAGGCTAACTACAGAGTAGTACACGCGCTATATCTATAGTACTAGAATAAGTTATGCCCCTTCTATTTCTATCTTTCTTAAATATAACTTGCAACTTACTATAGCATATAGATATTAGCATGTTCTAGGACCTTAGAGCACTAGAGAACGCCCTAGTGCTTTAGGCGTTATAGTGCTAAAGTCTTAGGCTTAGGTAGTATATCTAACTTGCTAATATACCCTTTCCTATTTAACCTTATGCTAGTTTTTAGGCTAATATAATTACTAGGCTAAAAAAGTCTTTAATATTATTTACTGCTTTATTAATACTATAACTAATAAGCCTTTCTTATAGTATATAGATATGTCTAGACTATAGAAAGATATGTTTTACCTACTTATATTTATTTAAAATTTCTATAGAGTAAAATCTTAATACTAGCTACTTCTTTATACTAAGCTAAAAGAAGCTCTATCCTATATTCTTACTTTCTAAGCCTATCTTAAGGTAGAAATAACTAAAGAGTGCTTAAGCTAGCAAGTAGTACTAAGCTAGTCCTTATATCTAGATTAATCTTCTAGCATATAGATATTGCATATATATAGTATAGCCTTTAAGAGGTATCAAAGTAGACTTTACTTAGTAGGTCTATATTAATACAATAGTATAATATCTATATAGTAGAATATAATAATAAAAGGCATAAAGTATATACAATGCAGTATTATTCTTATTCTTAGTCTATATATAAGAAAAGCTAAATATTTAGGTCTTTATATAGTATATAAGCGCTTTAATTTTACTCTTATAAATTATACTACGCTCTTATAACAGCCTATATTAAGGGATTAAAGCGCATAAGAGACTTTAAAGGACTATATAATAATATTTGTTAGAAGCGCTAAATATATAGTATAGATAGTATAGTATAAGTAATACTATATTTATAAGCTACTATTAGCTCTCCTCTATATATATAGCCTAGTTCTTAGCCTTAAGGGGAGCTTCCTTATTATACTCTTGCTTATTACTAAAAGTAGTAGCCTCCTAGTACTGCTAGTACTTAGAGACTAGGTTATTTATATTAGATTTAGCCTTAGTAAACTTTATTTTATCTATACCCTCCCTAGTATACTAATATAAGAAAGCCTTATATCTAAATATAGTAGAGAATTAGTCCCTAATATATTTAAAAAGCTCCTAGATAGAAGTAGAGTTGCTAATAAAGGTAGCAGATATCTTAAGTTCTTATAGAGAGACTAAGCAGAGAGCAGTCTAAGCATTATTAGAGATCTATTTAATAAAGTATAAGGAGTTCTTATTCTAGATATTATATATCTAATCTTTAACCTCTTTTATTAATACTTTACTATAAAAGTAAGTAGAGCAGGTTAGGTAATAGCTATTATAGAAGTTAGAGGTAGCTATTATATTTTTAGGATTAAACATCTACTATATAAGCTTAGAGATAATAATAGCATAGAAGAAGTATACACTATAACTAGTTAGAGGGGCAAAGCTAACTATAAAAAAGTAAAGATAAGAGAAGGGAACTATATTAATAGCTAACTTCCTTAGGTTAGAGTTAAGCTAACTAGGGAAGTATAAGCAAGTAGTAACACTAGATATAATAGCAGAGATAAGGTAATTTAAGTTACTATAGGATAGGTTAGTTAACTTAAGAGTTCTAGTATAAATATTATATAAGGCCTGCATCTAGTTAGTTTCTTCCTTCTATTATAACTAGTTTAAAGTATCTTATACCTTATTATTAATATAGAAGGTCTTGTTAGAGTTCTTAATAAGCTAATAGATAGAGAGAGTTGCGTTATAAGGCTCTATAATAGTGTCTAAGACTTTAGGAGATAGTATAATAGAGAAGGTAGCTATTATTTAGTTAAGGAACTCCTTATAGATCTTTAAGATTAGAAGTATACCTATACTAGCGCTAGTTCTACTACTAAGGGAGTAGGTAATCTAAAAACCTTAGAGGCAGTTATAGCTCTTAGCCTTGCGTTAGACAATATTAAGGACCTAGTTAACTAGCTTAGCACCCTTAGTATAGTGTCCCTTTACCTAATTATTACTAGCACTAGACTAACTAAAAATAAAGTTATTAGGATAGAAGAGTTATCTAAGCAGTCTAGCGCAGACAGAGTCTATAGTACTAGGCTCTAAATTAATAAGAACAGCACATAGAATAAACTTATTACTAGAAGCCTACTATTAATTAGCATCTATCTTATATAGAAGGTAGGAGAGACTAAGCATAGTACCTTGTTAAAGTAGACGTTTATGCGCTTAAGCTAGAGGTCTAAGGTGCTATTATAAATACTAGAGTTATTAAGGCTATACTTACTAGAAATAGTTTGCTAGAAGGCAGCACTAATTTAGTTGCCCTAGTTATCTTTAGGTACTATAATAATGCAATTAGAAGTAGCCTATATATTAGCCTATCTAAAGATAAACCTATAGATCTAAAGGCTATTATTAGCTATTATTCTTTAAATGTTATATTAACCCTAGGGCAAAAGATAGAGCTAGGGATGTGTTAAGCAGATATATAATACTAGATATATGCGTATAATTTTACACATCTAAATAGCTTCTGCAAGGTAAAAGTAGTTACTATAGCAAGTATGCGAGAATAATAGGGTTAAGGCAGTAGATAGTGCTGATCGAAAGTTAGGTTGAGGAGTAGAGCCTGGGCGCTGCTAGTCGCGTAAGCTCGACGCTAGATTTGACGTCATTAGAACGGCGCTACCACCAGAGGGGGCTAAAACCACCATCGCGAAAGAGTAAAGTCCGTACGCAGAGGCCTAATGAAAGAGACAACAGCTGTAGCAGGACGAAGACCATGAGGATTGGCCACAAATAGTTCTTCGTTGTCTCCCTGAACACTGGTTGACTCTGTACTGATGCGCAACTGTCGGTCCAAATACTGTAGCTTGTTCTCTATCGCAATAGCTTCTGGTAATATCCACTAATTGCGCTTGTGCACTCTACTTATCGAACACCTGCCCGTGGTCCAGTTTTGAGGACCATAGTATATATGGTTTATACTTCTTCTTTCAAGTCCTTGTCTTCCCTACACGTAACCTCACTTCCTACTAAAGATGCTTTAACAGCTTTTGCCTCAACTGTAAGGTCTTTTCCGCTCAACACCACAGTCACACACGGAAACATCACAATTCCAAGTTGGCTCAAAAACTGCACAAATACAAAAGTCTTTACAGTAACTGAACACAACCAGAACGCGCCGTCATGGATCGTAATACTTTAGCGCAATGACATCATTCTGAGCGCAACTCCAGTCAATGTTGTTCGTCACCGTCTTCTAGTCTGACAGCATATCAGACTTTCTTAGTGACAGAAAGGCAGTGTCAGGCCCTCTACGATGTCTTCAATCTTCGCATTGCATAGTTGCGAATAGTCATGAGAACACAATGTACGTATCAGCCTCAGAATGATTATGACGTTCATAGTCTAAACAACACTCGCTCCAGGACTCATACATACCTCGGAACAATTATGCGCACGGTTATACGCATGGATCTAGAGCTTACCCAAATTGCATCACTACTCAACGAAAAGGACCTGTCTGGAGAGCAGCTTGATAGGATTTCAGCGCAAGTTGCGAAAATCACATGTCAAAAGGAGCGCATCCTAGGGCTATTGCACCAATGCATTGCCGAGAACAGAGAAACAATTCGACCAGATACTGAGAAAGCTTGAAACAAGATGCAGCAGAGACGGCCGCACCTGGAAGCAAGGAGAGCATATGCTGTGCAGAATGCTGGCCTGAGCTCAAAGAAGTCGCGTGAAAAGTGCGTGCCGCATAGGCGAGCAGCCATTGACAGCACAGGTGGAAACATCAGGCGAAAGCCGCTATTGTTTGCAGATCAGTCACCACGATGCTAACTTTATTAGGCCCAAAAACCCTCATTTGAGTGCTTCGGGTCAAGTCACCGATGTCAGACCATGGCAATCACGCATGATCAACTGCCGTCATTGTATCAAAGCAGGCACTCAAGGTCACAATCTGAACACAATCTGAAATCCTTGATCCTTATCGAATCCTTCCAATATAGTGGTGCAGATTTGATTAAAGTAGCTGTGAAATCACCCAAGAGTCTTTGGTGACTGCTGGTACACAGAATCGGTTCATACCTCGCACACCTATCTCACTGGATCTATGATGTACGACTTTACTCAGATCGAATACAGATGTTGCCATCTTCGCTATATTGTGCGATCATGGTGTGTAACATATCAAGAAAGTCACACCCGGTGTCCTCTTAGTGTTGCAATGTATGCGATAAACTTCAATCGCCATGAACAAGCTGACCGTTGCTCTAGAGAGTATAGACTTGCTGAGGACTGTGGTCAGTAGAATACAGATCCGTGCCGATTTGGAGTTAACCTCCTTGACAAGGCGATTGTAGAGAGCAACGCGTCGTCGCAACCGAGGATGCGTGCTGCAGTGCAGCAAGAAGACCCAGTGTGCTGATTGTGGATCGATTATCTAACAAGAAAAGGAGGAACAAGAAGGACGAGGCAGCTTCTGCAACGGCCGATATTTACTATTGCTAGCAAGTATGAATGCGTAGTGTAGATGCCTGGGAGTTGCTCAGATGAGGACAGGTGGAGCGGCACAGGTGAACGGAGACGTCAGCGCCAGCGCCAAGCAGAGCCTGTTGGCTGGAATGATGAAGCAGCCTTCTGGGTGGCTAGATATCCTAGTCGAGTTCAGCATTCCGCGGAGGCATGCGACAGATTACGTCACGTGTAATTTGTGTTATTCTGGAAAGTATTGCAACACAGTTGCAGGCTGCGGGAGCAGGTCCCAGCCAACCATACGGCTTACGGGTCTGTGTGGCACGCTAAGCATATTCAGCCAATAAAACAGGGTTAGTGCTCGTACCACCATGCTCTAGCCTGGTCGCTCTTAGATCTAAACGCTGCATGGCGCCAGCGTTAAGTGCGCATCGCCAGGATGGATCCCCTTCCGCAGTCCTCTTGCTACTCGTAACTAGTTATACATCGCAGCTTCTTTATACCCAATCACGTTTACAACATCTACACATCCCAAGATGTCAGCCTCTTTGGGAACGGCCCAATGCTCCTGGTGCTTTCCGAACTATTAGCGCTCTTCCCATTCTCTGAAGAACCTGGTTTCGACCTATTTTTTAGGCACCCTCAATCCTGGACTGTGCAGCTATGACGCGTGGACCATCGACTGTCAAAACGTGCGAAAGAACGGCATGGTTTGCAGGCAGCCTAAGCTCTTGCTGGAGAAGTCGTGGGATAAGACAATCAGATGGAACTGCAAGATTGCCGCACTGGCGGCAACGTCCACCATCGCATCCAGCAGATCAGTGTCAGCACCTGCAGCATACCAGAGTTGACGCTGAAAGCACAGATTGACGTTTTCCTGTCTCCAAAAATCGATGTCGTCGCTCGCAGTATGTCGCATCGCGCTTCTACTCCGAGATAGACCCGCTCTCGCAACGGTAAAACGACAGTATGTGCTCAGTAGGTATTCTTGGCATTTGACACAGCGCGACGATGCTGCACTCGAAGCGTTTTGAAGCAAACTGGCAGACACCTGTGCTAGGTTCTTCGTCGGCGACTGGGCGATCCAAAGCACCTCCTGCCTCGAATCTTGGCAGGATGTGGTATGGACGAGGAAGAACGCATGAGTTGCTCGAGGGCGGAAGAAGCAAACTGGAAATTCTGCACCGGTCGCGTATGGCCTGGCCAGGAGAGAACTTTGGACCATCACTGGATGAAACCAGATATCCTTCCTCTTGGTTTAGGATTGCAGACCGTGGCGACAAGGACACAAGTGAGCAATGACGGGCCATTCGAGAGGTTTCCAAAAATGGTGACACGGATGCTGGTTCGAAAGGAGAGGGATACTCGACTCGCTCGTTCTGCGTTGAAGGGGAAGGTAAATTGGCTGAGCTGACCATGCTGCCAAACATCCGGTCACCGCAGTAGTCGTCAGTACTACTCGATGAAGTAGATCTCTGGATACTCGACCTCGAGCTTTTGCCTCCTGCACCTGTTACCCTGGATTAGGAACTTCAGGAAAGATAGTTGTTCAACGAACCTTTGTTTAGCGCAGTGTGTCCAGTCTTGAACTCCCCAAGATACATCCTATACGCATCATACTCCGGAGATTTCTTGTACTCTGATAATGCGACATTGTATCTCTCTTTCTCAACACTGGCTTGGCACTGATATACTTCTCGGGCTTCTGGTTGCAGAGCCTGCCATCGAGCCCCAACTATTTTTGCGGAATCCGTGAACGATAGCTTTTCGCCCTTCAAATCATTTCTTGTGTCTGCTCTTAGTTAATGGCAGTCGGCATAGCAGGAGAAGCCACGTACCTTGAGCAAACATTACATAAGCAGGCGTTGCTCTCTCTGGTGCATTTCTATCGGGCTGAGCTAGATTAGCTGTGTCTAGAAAGCAATACCGATTGAGAGAGCATGAAAACGGCGGGCCCAACTGTACTGACTTGTGGCCGTCTCGTATACTTCCGTTTTAGACGAGAGGTTGGGCGGCAATGACTGCTGGTGTGACTGCGCGATTCTGTAATGGCGTGCTGAAGCCTCTGTTGACACGCTAAATCAGCGTGCTGAACAAGTTCAAGGTCCTGTTGTTGGAACAAAGTACTGGAAGTGAGTTTGTTACTGCAAATACCTTTCTATGATGTGTCTTTACTTTGAGGTAACTTCTATGGTACATGTAAGTTTATCCAGACTTGGCAAAGCCTAGGCGACTTACAGGTCGGATTCGGTGATGTCTAACAGTGTTTGCCATGAAAGAAATCCTTCCGCGAAAAAGAGATTCAAGTATTCCGAGAGCCCTAACAGTTCAAGGGCTTTCTTCACTTCGGCCATGATGAGCTTGTGATGGCGTATGACTCGAAATGTGTATCGCAGAGGTGACAAGAGTGAAGATTTGGTGTTGTGCTTGTATGTGAGCACGATGAATGAGCAGAGCAGCCAGCTAATAGACCAAACTACTGTGCTCGTAGTAGTAGCAGAAGACGTGTCGGGGCAGGCAGTAGAATGCGGAGAGGTGACGAGATGATGGCTTGCAATAAGCGTGGATCACCTGCACGCATCGCTCGATCAAATTTTGAGCTAATCAAGTCTCAGCCGCTCTCCATGCGTGCCGGAGACGCGGATGACGAAGGAGCTACCGTGTCCGTGCACTCAACGCGCGGATTCAGTCAACGCGCCGAACCACCAAAACACCATAATCGTTACACCCTTACAACAGTACAACGCAATGGGTTTAGAAGAAGCGCTTGCAGAGTGTAATACTTTTGCATCTGAAGATAAGATCCCATAGTCTAAAATAGCAGAAAAGCATGGCGTTGTACGGTCAACGTTGACGCGTAAGTGGAGGGGTGAGATGTGGTCGCGAGAGGCAGAGAGTATTGCACGCCAGAAGCTCACCCCACAACAGGAGGAGGAGCTTGTGAAGTATATAAAGGAGCTTACTAGTCGTCATATACCACCTACAAGAGAGATGATCGCCAATTTCGCGTCAGCAGTCGCCCAGGAGCCAGTTAGCGAGAGCTGGGTCACGCGCTTCATCAACAAGTACGCCATTGATCTCATCTCTCAATACTCAACAGGTATGGACGCCAATCGCCACAACGCCGATTCCTACGTGAAGTACGAGCTGTACTTCAACCTGCTACAGCAGAAGATCGCTCAGTATAAGGTCGACGCTCAGCACACGTATAATATGGATGAGAAGGGCTTTATGATTGGCGTCACCTCAAGAACCAAACACGTGTTTAGCAGGCGTATGTGGGATAAGAAGGAGGTCAAAGCATTACTTCAAGATGGCAATCGCGCCTAGGTGACGCTCATAGCGTGTGTATGCGGCGATAGATTAGCTCTGCCGCCAGGCCTCCTCTACGAGTCCGCCAACAACACCATTCAATCACGCTGGGTAGAGGAAATTAAGCTAGGAATACATTCTGTGCTTGTTTCCTCATCGTCTACAGGCTGGACTAACAATAAGTTAGGCCTTGCTTGGCTTAAACAGGTCTTTGATCGCTTCTCTAAGGCCAAAGCTCAAAGAAAGTACCGCCTCCTAATCCTTGACAGCCACAGCTCCCATGTAACAATAGACTTTATCAACCACTGCAATCAGAACAAGATACTACTAGCTATCCTTCCTTCTCATTCAACCTATACGCTGCAGCCGCTTAATAAAGTCATGATTAAGCCTCTGTCATCTGCGTACTCAAAGGAGCTCACAATACACCTTCACAGCGGCCAAGGGCTATCAGTAGTCAAGAAAAGCGACTTCTTCCACCTGTTCTGGAAGGCCTAGGTCAGCACGTTTACTCAGGAGTTAATACTCAGGTCCTTTGAAGCGACGGGTATATCGCCCCTTCAGCCCAACGTCATCCTCCAACGCTTCGCCAAGGACACGCCTAAGGCCTCTGACAGCAGCACAAGCTCTTCTTCAGTCTATTCTAGCAAGGATTAGCTTAAAATAGAGACTCTATTGCGGAAAGTAGTTAGGGACAAGACTAGTAAGGAGCTGAGGAAGATCAGCCGCTCGCTCCACCACATCTCAATTCAAAATCAGCTCCTCCACTACGAGAATCAGAGCCTTAAAGAGGTGCTTAAGACTCAGAAGAAGCATAAGGATAAGAGTAAAGCTCTTCAGTTCCAGCCTCGCAAGGAGTATCACGGTGGAGCTGAGTTCTACTCTCCTAGCAGAGTAGAGAAAGCACGCACTGATGAGAGGACAAAGCAACAGAACCAGAAGGCAGAAGAACTCAGAAAAGCAGAGATGACAAAGCTTAGGCACGCTAACAAGCTATACAATGAGAAGATTGCTCAGGAGAGGCGTGAGCAACGGGCGAGAGAGAAGGAGGAGCGTGAGCGAGTTAGAGCTAAGAAGGCCGAGGAAGCAGCCGAACGCAAGGCTCAAAGAGAGCATAAGAAGCAAGCTCGCAACGCTCAAAAAGCTGTACAATTGCCCCAAAGAGGTAAGCGAAAGGCCTCACAGTCTGCAGCACCAAGAAAGAGGCAGAAACGTAGTACAGTGGCTGCGCGGCATAGTGTTGTTGCTGCAGAGCCTCCTGCGGAGCCTCCTGCGGCACCTCGCACCCACACCACCCGCAGCGGTAGAACAGCAACTATATACAATTAACATGTATAAGAGAATATCGTTGCATAGGCCTATAGAACAATCCACTAAATTATCCTGTAATAATAACTATTGTATGTGGCTGTACAGCCTCATTTTTGCAGGTGCTTGTTAGGGTGGTTCGGCGCGTTGACTGAATCCGCGCGTTGAGTGCACGGACACGGTAGCCAGTCGTCGCTCTTGAACACAGCAGCCCACACCTTGTCGTAAGCGCAAGACTTAAAATGGACCACATCGGCTGCGTTCAGGGCTGTTGAGGGAAGCAGAGAAGACGACTCTTAAGGGAACTCTACGATGGCTGGTGATCTCGTCTTGTGCTTTTGGTCTGCAAATTTACTGGTAACCAGTCAGAGGCGTTTCAGTGTTTGGCTAAAGCACTTACTCTAAATTTAGAGAGGTTGGCGCAGCTAGCGATCGCATTGGTCTTGAAGCTTCGCCCTGTCGCTTGACGCCATTTTCAGTCCAAGAAGAGGTTTGCTCAGGCCGTCGCCCAAAGCGTGCTCCAAGCTGGCCCATAGCCTCCTTCAACTCCTTAATGCGTCCCTCCACTTGCTTACAGGGGGCATCGAGCTCGTTGCTATGCATTCCTTACAATCAGAGCAGCTCGACGATGAGCCGACAACCGGGGGGATTTTTTTGCGTGAAGTGCTTCGAAAAAGTATCTGAACAATCTGTCATCAGCTCTGTCGCCAGCGTGAACAGCATATAGGCCGGAAATACTCGACAAGAAACCCACCCTCGTTTCGCCGGCGCTTATTGTGTACTGTCCGATAGGGTCGAGAAGGTAAAGTGGGGCCAAAGCTATGAAGTCTCAGAAAAGTGCGAGGCGCAGCAAATCTACATGCTGTATGTACTATGCAATGAGGCACTACATGTGTTGCGCATTCCCTGCTGCTGCCGAACCTGCCTGCAAAATGCACACACCCAAGTGCAAAAACCTGACATGCTCGGTCTCCACGATCCAGTTGGCGGATTTAGCGTGAGCTGTAGCGTGTCAGCGTGATTGCTAGCGATGCCTTTGCTCCAATGCACGCACGGCGCATTATCTCAACCGCAGTCGACTTGCATTGCTTCCTGACTGTGTCCATATGTCACGCTGCAGAGTCTGGCGAGCTGCTAATTCCGGCCGGCTCGCTCCTCGCAGCTGCAGGCTCTTCAGCTAGCTCGCTAGCCAGCTAATATCCTAAGCATGCGTACTGAAGAATATCCATCCAAGCTCAGTCGCCGACGACGCGGCACGACCTCCTACATTGACTCGGTGGCCTCCATCGTCCGCATCCACACGGAGACAGTAAACATCTGGACCCATTGCCTGGGCGCCCTCCGGTTCTCAGCAAGCGCAGCACGCCTGGTCTTCGCTGCCTCAGGCTCCGCCGCAGAGACAGCCGACGGTGCAGTGATCGTCATGTACCTGGCTGCGGCAGCTTCCTGCTTCCTGATCTCTTCGCTCTACCATACGTTTGCAAACCACGCTCGAGCGGACTTGTGGCAGCGCATCGATCACCTCGGCATCGTTGCAGTTATCTGGGCCTCCTCGGTGTCGTTCACTTTCTTCGCTTTTCGCTGCCAGCCAGGTCCACAGTGGGCGCACATCAGCCTAGTGACTCTGGCGAGCGGATGGTCTCTGAGGCGTCTGTGGAAGATAGGAGTCAGCCACGGCGGACGCAGCTCTTGGGGCGCTGGTCACACTGCCAGCGCTGCAGTGCAAGTACCAAGCCCAGACAGCTTGTCAGATCAGTAGTTTACTGGCCGCCTTCGCAGAGCTGTTCGTTGCCAACAGCATAGGAGGTGCGCTGTACACGACCAGCATTCTCGACGACGCCATCGGGAAAGAGCTGGGCATGCCGGACGCCAGCCATCACGCCATGCACGTCGTCGTCCTATTTGGGGCATGGAGGTACCAACAAGGTCTGCTGAAGGCCTATCGCGCTACCACTCAAGTAGGCACCGGCTTTTGTGGGTGAAGGAGCACGCTGTGAGAAGAAAATCAGGAGCAGCACCCTAGAAGAAGGCGAATCGACGCTCTGAGAGGTACCATTTAAGGTCCTGCATCGATATCGAGCCATGAGCTGACTGTGGGGTGGACGTACAAGTCAGCATTCGAGTTGAGTCTACACACACATTCGTTCGTGCAACATTCTCTTCCTGTCACGTAGCATTCTCTCCATGTCATATGTGAAAGACCCACAGCCTTGGCAGAACGACAACGTGGTCAAAGGTGGTTGAACCTCTCTTTACATCCTACTCGTCTCTTACGACGACAGGTCCGTCTGAGTTGATTCATCCTGCCTTGAGCGACGCTCTGCAACAGCAAGATCCTTCAGGAGCGGGGCGGCCCAAAGTCCCCGACAACTGTGCCGCATGCTGTTGTAGACGAGAAGGATGCCGCCGTCTTGGCCCGCCCCTTGGTCAACGGTACAACCAGTGCTTCTGTCGGTGGCAACGCTCCAATGGGAGCGCTTCCAACCACGCTACCTGCAACGTTGCATATACCGGTACAGCACTGGCCAGGCAAGGACTTGGGTCACTTCGAAGACATACATCTGCCGTGCCTCGCAGGCGCAGGGTTGTGTTGGATGTACCGTATCGTATGGGTGGTAGGCAGGGCCTCTGGCTGTGTGGTGTGTGGCGTGGTTATTGGATTTGGGTTTGGGCGGGTCTGAATCTTCCGAACGCGCGGGGGATCCCCGTCAACGTGATTCTAAGCGCACCCAGCTCAGCCAGTTGGGGGCTTTGTTTGCGCTCTGTACGGCCGCGGGCAATCCCAGAAAGCGGTTGCGCAGGGCTGGAATGCCTCCGGGTCGCTGTCTTGCGCTCTGTCAGGCACAGCACAGAGCGTCATGCTCTTCGCGCAAAAGTCCAGTAGTTTGGAATATACGAGAGGTTTTCCTAGCTTGAAAGCTAAAAATCTTCATCTGGGTTTGCGGTAAAATTGCGTTGTACAGCGCGAAAGTCACCAATTTCGGTATTTTGGTTGGGGACAAATCTCAAAATCTTGGCGACAAATCTCAGCAGCCTATTAAGATGAGGCCTAACTTATCTTACGATATGTAGTAATTGCACAGTATAATAGTGTCGTAGGGTAGGTGTAGAGGCGAGAATGTCTAAGGGGATTGCTTTGTAAGTACGGCTTTTTTTTCCAACCTGCGTGCCTACAACATGCAGTTACCCTGGTTACTTCCCCGACATTGGCGCATTACCGGTATGGTAGGGATTGACTTACAAACTTCCGGCCTTACTACACACGTCGTAATCAAAGACAATCTGACATTGAGATTTATTCCCCCTTCCAAGCCGCCGATGCGGCCCCTGCTAGAACAGTAGCCTGCAGGTGTTAAGATGACCTAATCACTCTCTAAACTTGCGCAGCGACACTAATGAATCATGAATCGTTGAACGGCCTTTTACAACAACGGAATCTATTCCTGATAGGTTTATTGGCTCTCTAGAGGTGCCGTCAACGGAAATGCCTCAATCCAGCAGGAGGTCAAGCTGCTGGAGCAGTCCTATTCTATAAAACGTCCCTCGCCATACCTATCATCATCCTTCGAGCCAGTTTTTTTGTTCTCGTGCTCGTTCGATAGTGTCTACTAAGTCCGACGTCTGTCCGTGCGTCTTCGAAGATCGTGCCGGTAACATGGTGAAAAGCATTCAGCTTTTGCCGCTGATTGCCAGCGTGGCAGCCGCGCTTGCGCTCGGAAGGAACATCCCGGGCTCTTTCATCGTCGAATTTGAGGCTGAACAGGTATGCTTCCTCATCAGAGGCCGTTACTGCGCCTTCTAAATCCTGCCCATAGGACCTGTTGTCCTACCACAGTGAGGTGGATCCGATCGCCGACACCGTCAGAACGTTTAACTGTAGTGTGTTTAAGGGTGCTACTATTCAATTCCGGGACGATAAGACGGCCGCTCAAGCGGCAGTTCAGTTGAAGACACTGGACTCTGTGAAAAACATTTGGCCAAATAGGCTGTACGCGCGGCCCGACTTCAAGCTCGACTCGACTGCTGCGTCAGTGGGATCCATGCGAAAGGTCAAACGACAGAGAACTAACAACACGTATTCACCACATGTTCAAACTCAGGTCGATAGGCTGCACGCTGAAGGGATCACCGGACGAGACGTAAAGATCGCTATCATCGACTCTGGTGTGAGTAGCTTCGCAAGATGTCGTGACGACTGAATCTGATCATGTAGATTGATTACCTTCATCCTGCTCTGGGAGGCTGTCTCGGTTTAGGATGCCTGGTCGTGGAGGGCTATGACCTGGTGGGAGATAATTACACTGGAAGGAACACGCCTGTCCCGGACGATGACCCCATGGACTGCAGTGTAGGTCTTCCAATCTCAGTGCAATTTCAAAACAACATTGGCTTATGATTTGCACGTATAGGGACATGGCACGCACGTTGCTGGTATTGTTGCTGCTCAGCCCAATGAGTACGGATTCACTGGTGCTGCTCCGGTAATACTCCCTCTCCCCGACGAAAGCCGTGCGTCTAATATCCTACAGGGAGCAAAACTATCTGCATACCGTGTTTTTGGATGTGATGGAGGCGCCGACACAAGTGTTATAATTGATGCGTATATGCGCGCATTCGAAGATGGCGCCAACATCATTACTGCTTCTCTCGGATCAAGAGGAGGCTGGGACGAGGACGCCTGGTCAACGTTGCTATCACGAATCACCAAAGCTGGCGTTCCATGTCCAACTTCTGCTGGTAATGATGGCGATACAGGCCTTTTCTCTTCCTCGGTAGACTCAACTGCCATTGCCTCATATGTCAACACAGAGTTTCCTGCCTTTGTCTCCTCAGCCAGACTCACCTCCAATGGCACATCTTCGTCAAACATCACCTATATTCCTGGACAACCTCAGGCTTGGGCCGGCGTAAAGCTTCCTTTGTGGGCATTATCATTTGACACGACCGTAAGCGACCAAGGCTGCAACCCATTTCCGGACAACACCCCAGACCTATCCGAAAAGATTGTGCTGATTCGGCGCGGCGGCTGCACCTTTGCTGTGAAGGCCGAGAATGCCGCTGCTAAAGGTGCTCGCTATGTGTTGATATACAATAACGCCAGCGTTGGTGCATTCTCGTTGGAATTAAGTACAGACGACATCCTGGGTGTCGGCATGCTGTTTGCGGAAACAGGCATCAATCTTATCAACGCCTTGGCCGTCGGCTCTGAGCTTGTCCTAGAATTAGGGGACCCCAAAGCTCTTCAGTTGATTGTCCAGCAAGACACGATTGCGGGCGGATATGTGAGCGATTTCACGAGTTGGTCTCCCACCTGGGAAGCGGGAATAAAACCACAGTTCGGTGCCCCTGGCGAGAACATTCTTTCAACTCTCCCACTCTCACAGGGCGGCTACGGCATAGCGTCTGGCACGTCAATGTCGTGCCCGCTCGTTGCTGGTGTATATGCGCTAGTTTCCAATGTTCGGGGGACTCTGGATCCCGAAATTTTGGACAGGATCTTTTCCGCAACTGCAAATCCAAACCTCCTGTACGACGGGTCAGCGGTCTTCCCTTGGCTTGCACCCGTAGCCCAACAGGGATCAGGTATGATCCAAGCCTGGGACGCTGCACATGTCACCACTATCATCAGTCGCTCAAACATTGCCTTCAATGACACGGATTACCTAGTTGATACTACCAACTTTACCATTCTCAACACTGGAAGTGAGTCAGTCACTTACGATATCGGTACTGTCGGTGCCGCCACGGCCTATACTTTTTCGAATAGCACGATCGTCGATCCTTTCCCCGGCATGGGATTAGATGGTGCATTCGCCCAAGTGCTGCTGAGCGAATCCAAGGTCACTGTTCCCTCAACTGGTAAGGCTGTCATTAGTGTGACAGTGATACCCCCTGCTCTGGAGGCCCGCCGTCTTCCTGTCTACTCCGGCTATATCACGCTCAATGCCACCAACGGAGAAAGCTTATCTCTTCCCTACCAGGGAATTGTCGGCAGCCTCAACAGCCAGGATGTACTGGGTAGCTGGGAGCTCTTTGCCAACGACACGTCTGAAGTGCCCATTACCACCGACGGCACGTCGTTCATTGTACCCCTGCTTAGCAACGGCAGCTCTAACGCAACGTACGAAGAAACAGGTCCGCGGATCGTGGTCACTTTTAAATTTGGCAGTCCCTACATGCGTGTGGAGGCTATCAGCATGGATGGCAGCAATTCCAGCGCCGTCGTCGGTGACATTTTCGACTCCCCTTCGGACTGGATGGCGCGAGACGAGTATTGGTATCCTATCAATGGAAGGCTGGCCAATGAGTCATTTCTTGCGCCTGGTAGATACAAGCTGCGTGCTCGTGCGCTGCACGTTTACGGCGATCGACTTAGCACCGACGAGAAGCAGTGGGATGAAGCTGAGTCACCAGTATTTAGCATTAGCTATACATAGGAGCGGCCGCCTAGGAAGGATGGTTACTACGGTGTCAGGCATAAGTAGTGTAGGTGCGGAAAGACGACCAGAGGGCAAAATCTGGATACCTAAGAGTCATTAATGGGTACCTGCACCAATAGATATAACGTAGTTCACAAACGAGCCGTCTAACCTAAGCGAGCCGTCCAGTTTTACTAAATACAGCCTACCTCCAGCTTATCCTACTATGCTGTCACAACGCGACGCGCAATTATCCTATACTGAAAGCGCATTACAGGGTGCTATCCAAGCTACGCTTGAAGATCGCAACGAGAGCGAACGACGCGTGATTGCAGCCTTTATTGTCCCAAGAAGCACGCTTCGAGACTGACGTGCTGGGGCCTGTCAGAGCAGCAGAAGTGCTCCGCACCTACGTTGAGCTTCAACAGCCGTCCACCGAGAGAGACATGCGTACTTTGCTCAAGGCCACGCGCGATGAGACCTCCAAGACTCAGCTGAGCCATCTCGCGAGATACGTCCGCAGCGACGAGATTGTCGTGAAGCGACCGTCAGTCCTCGACTTGCTGGAGCTATTCCCCGCCATCGACATCTCGCCCGGTGCCTTCCTCGCAATGCAGCCGCCGATGAGGGCTTGACAGTACTGCATCTCGTCCTCACCTCTGTGGAATCCCAGCTGTGCTACGGTGACGTTCTCTGCCGTGCATCAGCCGCCTACGCAAGACAACAAGAAGACTGTCGGAACGGCGTAAGCGTACCTCTCCTCTCTAGCCGTTGGAGACGAGGTTTTCATCAAGATCGAGGGATGCGCCGAAGAGTTTCGTTTGCCAGAGCCGGCTGACGACGTCCCGCTCATCATGATCGCTGCAGGGACTGGTACGACACTTCGATTGCGTAGACCCGCCTGTCTTGCTCTGTGCACTGACTGTAGACACAGGCATCGCCCCTTTTCGCGGGTTCGTGCAGGAGCGCGCAGCGCAGATAGCTGCCGGTCGCGCTCTACCTATGCCGCAGCGACTGCGAGAAAAGCCAACGCTCTTACAGCAGCTGCCAGTCATTACTTGACCACGCGTCTGGAAGGACCACTGCTGCGGCCACGCGGCTCGTGTGCGGGCGCTAGGTTCCTACCACCCTACATGTGCAACGGTCCGAGTGAAGAACGTCGCCTATATTACGGAGCGGCAGCGGCGCTCCTGTACGTTTACCTACCTCAAAATCGTGCAAGAGTGCAAACGGGGAATGTACTGACTCATGCAGTAACGCACGGAGCATTGACTCTTGAACCGAGCGGACCCGCTGCTCGATATCGCGGTGGCTGCATCTCAGTCTCAGTCCAACAGCCTTGCTCAAAGCTGCATCAATCCTCTTCAGACTGTCCAACACTGCTTTGCTCTTAACTTGATAGGTGGGTTGTAATATCTATCAGCAGGAATACCTCCTAGGCCTCGTATGGCTTTGACCTTAATGCTTCGAAGGTCACGATGCATCTTTACGACTTCTCTCCTTGCAATTGGAATGGCTTATGCTATAATTGACGCATGGCGCGGAAGCTGATGATGACTGCAGCCAATGGACAATCATCTGGTCAGCATTGTCAGCCAGTAACCAGGCTTTCATGTTTCCGAATAAACCGGATGTAAGCCCGTGCCCCGCCCAGCATCAACACCACGCCCAATTATCACTAAATCACTCAATTTAGAAGCAGATCGATCAGAAAAAATGCTAGAATTTTGTAGCACGACCTTGAACAACATCCCGACATTCTATTAGTCTGCCAGGGTAGCCTTTGATGGTTTTGTTGACCTTACGTAGGTCAAGAGCCGCCCACACCCGATAGAACCGTGACATCCCCTCAGTTTTTGAGCGACAGGTACGCCTGTAAAAACCTCTCCTTTAGTGGGGATACCCAGGTCTCCATAACTGAGAGATCTGGTGACTTTGAGCACCCTACAAGATAGTCCCAGCCATGCAGATGCATGTAATTGAGTGTCTTTTTAGATGTATGAGCACTGTCCTTGTCCATGTATAATGTCCACTCTCCACCACGGTGAAGTAATTCAGTGTGTAACGCAGGTAAGATCTTCTCAATAAATACCTTACTTGTCATTTTGCCATTACTGTGAGACGTCTCATATGGCATACACCATGCAAAGTCATAGCCAAGCACACAGAAGAGATGGAACTTTCTCTCCTTTACTACCTCCTCTGGCTCTTGCTTTCGGTGCTTATCATACTGCACATTCTCTGGCTTATTTCTTTCACCCTTGCCTTTTCTCCTCTTGATCTTGCGCTTGTGTCGTGGGCCAGTTTTCCAGTGCAACTCATCACACCACAAGACACTCTTCCAATTTTTGCCATGGGGACGCTTTTGAAGCTGGGTATCACACCACTCACGACGCTCACGCTGACGGTAGGGAGGATGCTCATCCTCTTGAGCTGCGATATGCTCAGTGAGAGGAGCAATCTCCTGCACTCGGCGCCATATTGTAATGCGTGAATAGGCCTCTTTCCTACCCTTTGCAACAACCCCAGCCTCAACCTGTATGTCCTGCCATGTATCTGCTTTCTTTTCAAACTCGCAGTGATCTAGATAGTCGACTATCGCGTGTGCGTCGGCTCCGGTAAGCTGTCGTGGTGCACCTCGTGCGTCTAGATAATCGCTGTGATAGAGTGTACGTGGCTCCTTAGACTAAGCAACCGCATAAGCAGTTAAGTGAGGGATATTAAGGGCTGCTTTAATATCTTCAAAGGAGCAAGGTATATGGTGCACGTCGCAGAAGTGTAGAATACCCAGGATTGCACTGCGCTGAGGTGTGTGGAGGTGCCGTTGGGACGCCTCATCAGGTACGTACACCGGTGGTGGGGTGTTAAAATGCTGATGAAAACTTTTCCCAGCCCTCTTGACTATCTCAGTCATCTTGGGCAAGAAAATTAGGAATAAAACGCGTTGATTTAGGCCTGTAGAGGCCTTGTTGATTCATTGATTTCGTGGTGTTGCATCCGGTTTATTCGGAAACATGAAAGCACGCGCTTGTGTCATCGAGCCGATTGACGAGTTCCCGTCCAATCAGATTACCGAAGAGATAATTACCGGCGCTGCCGAGGGGTAAATCCGCTCTGTCATCTTGACGTCCCTTGCTCGCAACGAACACCACTCTTGATTGATTATTCAATTGAGTCTCGTCCACATCCCTCCCGACACTCGCTTCATTCAAAGCTATCCTTGCGCTCGATGACGAGTCAACCCGTAGTGTCTAAGGTAGCAATTCCTAGGCTGAAGCGACGAGACGACGATCGGAAGGCTCCCCAACCAAAAGAAACGAGGAAACCCGAAAGGACATGTACGGTGGCTTGCAACAGTTGTCGAAAGCGCAAGACTCGTTGCACCGGTCAGCAGCCACACTGCCAGAATTGCGCGAATGAAGATCTGATCTGCATCTACACTCCGGATCGGCAAAACTGCTTAAGAGCGTATGTTCTTTCTATTCAATGTAGATCAGTACTTATGTTGAGTAGGGCCACCTATCAGAATAGTCAACTCCTATCTTTTCTGAGGAATCTCGGTGCGGACTCTCGAGGTGCACAGAAGCGGAAGATTGACGAGCTTTTGAACGCGGTATGTGCACGTTTTAGCTATTCGATCAGCACTGATGCATCGAAGATCGAAGGTGACGGCCTCGCCACGGCCTCAGCTGGCGTGCCAGAACCGGACAGTAACCAGACTTCTTCCACAGTCTCTGCAATAACAACTTCCACTGGGTATGTCGTCCACCACCTGCCTTTGAGGTTAGGTTGCTGACGTCCTTCAAAGGAAACCTTCTGGATCGGTTGTTCCGTATTCTCTCCCTTCCACAACAACGCTGACTCGCTCACTTTTGCAGCCGGATGACCCGAATGAACCGGTTGTTGAAGGAATACATGCTAGCTGTGAAAATCAAAATCGAAGGGTACGTTAACACTGCAACTCTATGTTCTGTCAAGCAACACACTGAAGTCTCGCTGAAAAGTGTGATAGTAGCTTCCCAAACTGCTCTAAATGCTTGGCTAGCAACAGGACATCTGTAGATGCAGTCGTTCCACACAGCCTGATCAACATCGCTCGCAAGCGTCTCCACAATAAGCTACATGTGCAATCAGTAGGCTCCGAGAGGTCTCGCCCGTATATACAAGCTCCTGAAGGTGGACGAAACTGGCAATCGGACGACACGATTAACGACAGATCTTCTTCTTATTTGCAAGCCATGCCTTCACCTCAAGACCCCACTTCCAGCCGGCATTCTCTCCGTTGTACACTCCTCAAGTCAAAGTCGGAGACGTTTTCCGCCAGCCACAGCCCGCGGATACTATGTGCAGGCTAACAATACTTGCAGATACGACGACCCTGATTATATTTTCGAAGAGCTCTGGCAAGAACCTCGGGAAATGTACGGCAACAGCAGCACAATCCTTTACTTGACAAGTTCCGCCCTGCCAATCTCACGATGGACAACTGTGTCAACAGACGAAAAGCTCCTCAATCATCTGCTCTTGCTCTTCTGGACTTAGGACACGCTCGTTAATCGTGTCATCGATCGGACGTTTTTCGAAGATGCCCTCAAGTACATGGACCCATCAGATCAGGTGGGCCTGCGTTTCTGCTCACCCTTTCTAGTCAATGCGCTTCTTGCCCTTGCATGTGTAAGCACTTCCCACTAGAAGCAGTGTGATTTGATGCTGAGTTTTTAATCAGCTGTACACAACACAAAACGCAACCTTCTGCACTCCTAATAATCCCGTCACTAGAGATGCCGTCTTCGCGAGGGAAGCAGAACGACTTCTTGTCATTAAGCAAAAGATTCCTTCTTTGCCTATAGCACAAGGTCTCGCTGCACTATATGTCTACGAGGGAAATCTAGGCAAGCTTCCAATGTTTCTGCGTTACAGAGACTACTTCTATCACGCGCACAAGACGCTTCAGTAGGATATCTGGCTATACTATGGCAATGCGTCCATAGACCGTCACCAAGACATCAGGCTCAAGCAAGTTGCATCTCGCATACAGTAGGGCTTCTACGTATATGAATAGTACGGCTTGATGTGGCAAGCTCTAGTCGTTAGAATGCTAAAACGTTCTCTAGGAAGTCTATACACTCATATTGTCGCCACAAACAGATTAGAAAACCACGTATACCTAAGTTGTGGCAGGACAAACAAACGTCGCTCTATCCAAGTAGAAATACAGCAGATTATTGGTGGTTTGCGTATCCGCTGTCCCTCAACGCACAGGAATCGATGAAGGTTGAGATCTTTAACGCAGAATGCAGCCTCGCCGAGATTGTTGAAGAGATTCTTGACTTCCTAGACCCCTGCAAGGGAGAGGCCCTACCACATGAGAATACTACAAGAGCTCGAGACTTGTACCAAAGAGTCTTGGACTTGAAGTACTCCCTCCCAGAACGCCTCCGAGCAGAAGATGCAGTGCATCCTGCTGCTATACTGCTGCAGTAAGCTGGAATAATCCCCGCACAATGTTCTTGCAACGTCTCTCTGACTGAATCCGTGTAGAGCCAATTTTGACGTTGTCTTGATCAGCATTTTGAGTCCTTTCGATGCGATCAAAGAGAGCCTTTTCGGATCCCTCGATGCAAGATCAATCTCTTATTACCATGCGAATAGCATCATGTCCAAGCTTTGGACCTTTCGGGCTTTGTACACACTTCAACATGAGTTTTGGAATATCCAGCTCTGCTCGCTATGCGCTTTCCGCGTACTATTCGACCTTGACTTCGGTTCTTTGCAATTGGATACGTTCACCAAGGCTTGCCAAGGTCTGTATGAAATGACTGAGCGATTCCCGCTTGCTCGTAACGTCTTGGCTTCTCTCCAGTCAGCAATAGAACTACAAGGACTTCAACTACCGTCTTTTGCTACAAGGCATCTCTCAAACAAAACAGCAATAGTGGAGGAATCTATCATGAAATACACAGTCGTCCCTGTCAGTCTTTCCATAAGCACTGTTCATGAAGCAGGGTCAGCCAGGAAGCACGAACAATTAACGCTTTCGGCATTGCTTATGAAGCTCGACTTCAACGTTGGTCCAGACTAAGCGGGATTAGTGCCTCAGCTGGTGCAAGAAGATATAATTTAGAATTTTGGCCCGTGCTCAACTGCGTATAATACTAAACCGCAGTGTAAAGTACAGAGCGTAACATACTACAGGTATCGAATCTCGTAATTACTCTTTTGTCAACGCCTTCTCAAAGATGAGGGAATAGATCAGCAAGGTCGGTGGTTTTTGCGCGATATGCAAAATGGCACTGCAGGGACCGTTTGATGCCTTGATGCGCGCTTAAGCAAACGTGCGCGCGGGTGTCAATGTGTCAGGAACTATGATCTGCTTCTTTGACTTTGCCCTACAACAGCTCAGAAACTACGATCTCGCTCAGGTCAGGCAGAACTTGCCTCAATCCCTTTCTCCAAGGCCAGAAAAATTCATGAGCCCAAAGTTTCGATGGCCATCAGCTCATTCTGCCATCAACAATGGACCTATCCCAGTGAATTAAAGCCTGACCAAAAAAGAGCGAACCAGTTGCTCTATGTTGTAAGTAAGAGGAAATGTGATCCTGCTTATTATAGAGGGTGGTAAACGCGTTGTTAAAAGAGGTACCAGGTATTTCTAGCCCTAGAGGCAGGTTAATAGCAGAGCCTGCAGCTTCTGCTACCTGTAAACCTCCTTAATCTGTGTGTGGTAGGAATGCAAACATTGCCTAATAACCTATTCTAGTGTTATAGTTAAATATGCTAGTAAAGGACTGTTAAAAGTGGTTGTAGACACTAGTTGCAGAAGCGCTCTATAAGTTTAATCTTGCTAGAGGTAGTGCATCCTCTTGCAGGAAGTCTGAGATGTCTATGTCTATATCGGTTTGAGATGCTAGGTCCTATAGGATTCTAAACCCTAGGCTGTAAGCACGCTCTGCTACTCTATTATTTTTCTTTAAAACTCTTAGCTACTAGATTAACTTCCTAACTTTTAGTAGTATCTCTTTACTCTAGGGATTATATACCGCACTGCAGGAAAGCTCTAGTAGCAGCACTATAAGTGCCTGCATAAGGTAATAAGTTATAGACTACTAAGGACTAATTTAGTACAAGTAAGCTATACTTGCTTAGACAGGTAGGATATCTGCAAGGGTCTTTGCAGCACTGACGCAGCTACGGCCTATCTTGTTGTTAAAGTTTAAAGAGCCTTTAGTCTGCTCTAGAATCTGTTTGTTAAGTCTGCATAGATAGGGTTAAGTAATTAGGATGTTTGCTCTAATATAAACTATCTATAAAATAAGGTGTTTATATATAAAGCCTCTATTAATAGTTAGTTATATAAAGTTTAAACCTAGAGGAAGATTTATAGCCTATGTCTTAAGCTTATTATATAAACTAGCAATCCTTCCTTGCATATCCTTCTATAACTTACTTATTACTCTAGCAGAGTATAAGCTAATTATAGCACTCTGTCTAATTTTATTAATATTTACTAGGCACCTTAGGAGTAAACCTGCACTATAAAGCTTAGGAGATAGTAAATTAAACCTAGCAGCATTATTATTATAAATGTTACCTCCTCCTCTGTTATAATCGTTCTAGTAGGATGCTATGTTTTTATCTAATAACTATTCTATTAAAGCTAGTAGCAGTAAGGGCACTAAGTAATAATCCTTAGTAATAAGACACTATCTCCTAAGCATTATACCAAGGCTCCTTTTAAAGGTCTATAGGGCCTACTAGGTCTGCACTAGTCTTTCTTTTCTAATAATCCTAACTATTAGGTCTTTATTCTAAAGATGCAAACCTAGTGCAAGAGCATAACAGAGGGCAATACCTATAGCTACCTAGGCTCTAAAGGCATATAATTAGTAGGGAGCAATAGTAGATAGAGTAATTGTTACCTATTTATATTTCTAACAGTAGAGGTATAGAATATAAAAAGAGCAGTAATCTAGACTTGCATAAGATCTAGGAGGTAGACTAATAAAGGCTTGTCTAGATTTAGCAGATATGCACGAGATTAGTAGATAATATAATTGCGGCTATCTACCTGCTAGTGTGCTTTAGTAAGGTAGGAGAACCTTGCTCTAATAGCGAATATAAGATTTAGTATTACTAGCTACTTCTCTAGCATTTAATAAGGTATTATAGCTGTAAAGTAATTGCGAACCTAGTCTATAAAGACATCTTTTGCTAATATTAGGAATACGTCTTAAACAGTACTTATATAGCGGTCTAGTAGTCTCTGCATAACCTTAATGTTTAGCAGAGCGTATAGGTTAATACTATAGTTTACTTCTATGCCCTTGCTATCTAAGTAAAACGTAGAAGCGCTAATTAGTATAATAGGTCTATATTGCTGTTGTTCCCTAAAAGCCTCTATGCATTGTCTAGAGTTTTTAGGGCTATTTCTAGGCAGTCTATATAGACTGCTAGGGATTAGTAATGTTCTTTAATAGCGTTCTAACTCCTGCTGTAGATGCTAAAGCTACTGCACCTTAGAGCTCTAGCTAATATATCTAGTTGCTTGCAAGTCCTTGTTCCTTAATAAGTCCTTGTCTAAGATATTAGTCTTGTTATTTAAACTAACTTCGGCAAACGTTGTGGTTTCTCTGTATGTTTCGTCAGGATCCAGTAATTTATCTAGCTGTAACGTAGCTGCAGCTTCTGCAACATCCTCTATAACCTAATAGTTGTTAGCTTCTATAAGATTGTGTAGGCTAGATCAATTAGGAATAAATATACTTCTGCTAATAGGTTGTTAATCTGCTGCCTGTTTCTATCTGCAACAGAGTCTTGGAGTTGCCTGAGCAGCTGGGTTATGGCCTGATTCTGCATTATAGCACTGCTGGTGGTTAAAACCGGATGTTTGGCTCTGAAGCGGTATTAACAAACATCTTGAAACGGTCTTTGCGACCTGCCAGGTAGACGCAAGGTAGCTTAAGATTGTTATAGTTTCTATAAGTTGGCTGTTGTCCGTCGCAACGCACTTTGCGCAGTCGGCATCTTGTGCATGCTACTAACACCCTGTCTTGATTGACTTGGCGATTTCGGCGCGGCGGCTGGTGGTGACGGCGTGATCGATCCCGTGGAATTGGCACTTTGGTTGCAGCGTCCGGTCCGGATAAGTGCGACATCGGGAATGACATGATACTGTTGATGATGAACGTAGGTACTGTGACTGGCAATGGGAGGAGATCCTTAAAGACAAGTGAGAGCGTCCTAGTCGAGGACCCCCGCGCCTCTGTGGCGAGCGCGTGGTGCTGCTGAGGAAAGATAGCGCTAAGCCTGCTGCAGAGGTGCTTTACAGTCTGTTGTGCGATTGTTAAGAACTTTTGCTAGACTTCCTGTGGATTTTGGAGCTTGCAATTGGAGCATAGCCGTAGCTAGCAGATTTGCTATGCTGCCAGCTCCTGCACTCTTAAGCAACAGTATAGCCTTTATTTACTGCGCACTGTGCTATAAGGTTGCTTGGAGTTTAATTATTGCGTACGCTAGGCAATGAGGCTGGTTGTCTTTGCCCCGCTTGTTTGTGGGCTCTTTTAGCGTCAAAGGTCATTTACATGCAGACTTGTTAGTTAGGTATTATAGCAGATTCTGTTCTTAGATATGGAGCATCTCGACTTTGCGGATGCAGATATAACTGTCTAGACATACTCCGCGCGTCATCCTAGAAAATAGGGGAGCTAGGGAGCATTAATAGTGGTATTCCCTTTCGTTTATTCTAAGGTTCATTCAGTGATGAACTTGGAAGGATTGCGTCAGCTGTTGATCGTCCTCGGATCTGATTAGACACGGTCGGAGATCTCCTGACGAATCATGTATCACCTGTCACAACTTAGCGAGTGAATCAATTCTGCATTGTTAGCCTAGAGGAAATGGGGTATGCCTGTGTTCTATACTGCAATCTATCGACTGAAGATATAAGCACCGCTTTTTGCGAAGAAGCAAGCGACTGTCTTAATCAGGACCCTGTATGTATGCCCACACCGCATGCGATACCATAGCCACATAGGAACCTAGTGGGAAGCAACGAAATACAAGGGAACAAGAACATAAACATTAGAACCTAAATTAAGCCTTAAGGGTGCCAAGGCTGGCAACTATGAACAGAAGAAGCTAAACACTAGACGAAGACTGTAGGTACAGCGGACGCGACACACAAGGCAACGCGCTTCCACAAACGTGAAAGCATTGTTGTACATACAGGACATTAAGTATAGCATAAACGCAGGAACACTAGTCTTAGGAACAACAACGCGGACGCCTTCCTAGAGAACTCTACTTACTTTTTCCAGCGCCAGCCCTCTTAGAGCAGGACGCTTTCTTATTAGTTGCGGTGGGCTTAGCCGGAATGTGGCAGCACTGCGGGTGCATTGGCTGGAGTCGAATTTCCATACCCTTGCGCACAGGCTGCTGCAACACGGCCAATTTTCCGCAGCAGGCATTTGTTGGGAACTATTAATGCTGTTGTGTCATAACTACCTAAATATGGTCCACTTTTACACTTTCCCATGCTACCTTACTTTTTTAACCGTGGTCCTGCGCTCGCTTCCAGGCTAAAACTTCCACGCGCCGGGAGACACCCAAACTTCGAAGAGCCCTACCATCTACCCCACAACTCTTCTACCTGCTAGTCACTCTACCTCTCAAGTGCATGTCGGCCGCAGCGCTTAGAGTATCGGCCTTGGGCTTCTAACATCGACAATTCGACCAGACCTTAACATAGCCTCCAAGACTGCGTCCATACATTGTGTGTCAGATCATTGGGTTCCCTTTTCACAGGGGGCCCATGCATCTATGGCCGGAGTAAACACAAGCTCTCCTACGGACAACGTACTGCCCTTTGATAGTTAATTCGCACTTCAAACATACCTTGAGCAGTTCTGCCTAGTAGAACATGTTCTTCACAGCAAAGCTACCCTTAATCGCCCGTTCACAGACTTCAATACGCAGTATAGCCTCAGTATATCCCATGGGGGGTCAAATTTCGCTATGTATCCATCCCTGGCAGTATTCAGCACAAGCAATGCGTACACCACTGCGTACGACCCCACAACGATCTTACCGCTGGACACATGCTTCGATGCAGACCAATCGTCTCTCAGCTCGAACAGCAATTATTCGATTGACGGACAAGCGCACTATGTCAGTATATCGAATCCTGCGACGTTTATCGGAAAATCCAATTCCTCATCGCCCAACCGCCGCTACGACAGCCTACAGTCCAATTTTGCAGCACACTCACCGACGATGCCGCAAGCGCAAGTGGGCCGAAGACGATGCTCAGAATCTGCAGAACTGGGCTCTGCACGAGCTGTTTACCTTGAAAAGAATCGCAAAGCAGCAAGCAAATGCAGGAGCAAACAAAAAAGGCAGCAGGAAGAACTTGTGGAAACAGCAAGGGATATGGGACGTCGGAACAAGATACTCAAAGTCGAGGTTGAAAAACTGAATAGTGAAATGCAAGATCTGATGCAGCTTCTAGGTCAGCATGCACAGTGCTCTGATGCTCGGTTGAAACGGTATTTGCAGCGCAAAGCCGATCGAATAGCAACTGGGCGTCAGAAAGAGGGCTTGCCTTCGCCGTTCTCAAGCAGTCCACACTCTAGCACCAGCTCTATTAGCAGGGTTCATTGCCAGAAAGAAGAGTGAAAGCGATGGTAGTTAGAAGTGTGTACTATGAGCGAAGTCTACTTTATATCATTATAGTAGCGGCCTCAGTCATGATCTCTTACGTTAACACATGCAGTGGTGGTTACACGCTCTAACTACAACATCCTTTCTGCTTTAATCTGTAGATAGGATCAGCGTCCGTGCGGGCGAGACACTAGCGTCTTAGTACTACCGTGCCAAAGCGCGCCAGGACCTGAAGATCCTGGAAAATAGTGTCGTGTTGGTATTAGTATTGAATCTGACGTGCCTTGCCCCTACTGCTGTCTGATACTTTATAGTGTTATCTAGACTGCCCTTATAACCTCTCCTATTTCTTAATTATTCTTTCTAAAGTCCCTGTTGTGTAAGCGTAATAATGTTATTTTATAGAGGCAATGACTAGCACGATAAGGTTAGGCTGTGCTATAATTTAGTGCGGCGCCTTAACATGCGGCGCAGCAGTTAGCGGAGGTGCTATTAGGACACTTGCTAGAGCATAAGCTGCCGTACCTGCTTGCTGCTGTTGAGTGAGTGCATTAAGCTATCGCTGCGCACCAGACAGAACGAGGCTAGCCTGACCCTAGGAGCTGCGTGTTATAACAAGACGATCGATATAATTAGCTGTTGATGTCGGCAATCTGCTCTAGGAACTGCGTCGCCTGCCGCTGTATTCGCTTGCCGCCCGCCACGTTTTTGAGGCGTCCTAACGCGGCAACTGTTTGTCGACCTTAAAACGCAGCCGCATCTGCGTTTGCGGTTTAGAAGAGCGTTGTGCTCTGTTACAGATTGCATGAGATGCTTATCTATAGACTGTAGTTGTGGAAATATGTTCCTTACTACTAATTAGCAAAAAAAGCTATACTACTGATCTCCTCTATATTATGTAGAGTTAGTTAGCTAGGCATCCTATATTTTAAGACTGCTTATGTAACAGGAGTACACAGCAATTGCTTGCTTACTTTGTAATATTAACTATAAAGCTGCACCTTTTCTGCGTCTTAGCGCACTTATTAAATCGCGGCCCTCTGCTCCCTAACCTACTACCTCTATAGAGTACTCTATAGAGTAGAGATATATAACGCTATAGTTTATCCCCTAAATAATATTGTGCCTATAAGAGTGTCTTCTTGCAGTAGGAGAGAAGTAGTGTGATAGCAAGGCTAGACTAGTACTTAGGTGGGATTAGAGTGGCGGCTACCTATTCTACTAATTGTTATTAGCTAGGTTAGATAAAGAAACCTTTGCGGGGATATAGGTTCCTTAGCACTTGCGAACTGCTTATATCTTATATAATAGGAGTTTATATTAGGGTGGAGTCAATAACAAACTATAGGGTTCCTGGACAATATCTCTATAACTAATAAGCGAGCTTAAAAGATCTAGTAATAAGAAAACCCTACTATAGCTTTAAGCGTTAACTGCATTAATTAATTAGGGAAGAGAAAAATATTCTGCAGAACAGAGTATAAGGATATATCTTATATAAGCTGTACCTTGTCGTACTTAACAGCCTTTGCAATCTAGATCTATAGCGGGTTCTTAGCATTGCTATGATAGTACATCTTATAACCTACTTAGAAATCTAACGCTCTTTTGTTGTATCTAAAGGATCAGTGATATAATATAGATTGATAGGATTTAGATGCTGTTTTGTTAATAGTGAAAGCTAGAGTACTGCAATGACCATGTGAAGATATTTTGCTGCCGCATTATCCAGACCCTACAATGATTAACGCAATATGCTTAGCCTTTTTAATGCAGAAATTAAGGAGAGCCTAAGAGTCTTTAGCTTTTAAGAATAATAGTCATTTACTGCTGGCTAGATGACACTAGGCATGGGCAGGAACAGTGTGCATAGCTATTCCTTTGTTCGTTTGTAAAACTGTTATTTGACAGAGTAGTGCCATTCAGGGGTATTAACGGGACTGGGTGCAGCAGCAAGCGTCTCCATGCCATCGATGATCAAGAAAATGAAAGGCCGCTTTGAAAGCCAGATGGGATTCCAAGAAGCCGATCGCCGATCGCCAACTGACGCGTTGCATGCGAAAGCTGAGGAATTCGATCCCTGGCGCTGTCCCTATTGTTGAATTCCCATGTGTGCCCGCTTAAGCTCCTGCCGCCTGACCACTTCCTTCTTCTTCACGGTCCCCTCCTCGCGCTCTGTTTAATCCTTTAATTTTCCCTTTTGCGCAATTTTAGTCGATTCCTCAGATTGTAGCTTGATCTCACCTGGTCTTATCTACCACACGTTGCCTCTGGATAGCTATCGCACAAAGGTGGAGTTGTCTTTCAATATGGCCATTGTACATCGTCGTTGTTGCCCTTTACTGAGGGTTCAGGCCATTACAAACAGATCACTTCGCTCCATAGTATTAGACCTTTCACTACAATGGGATCTCAGCTCCTGCAGTCCTTCGATTGTGCCAACGCCGTCTACGCAGCCTTCAGCGACGCATCGAAATACCAGAACAGATGGGCTGCTTGCAGCAGCAACTCAGCTCCAATGGATATCACGACTGCCTTCACCATCTCTCCGTCTCTTCTGACCCATTCGACGACACATTTCGGCCAGGCCACCCCACCTGAAGAGCGCTCACCTGCAGACTCGCCCCGTGAGGCCAGGGAGGGCTCCATCCCTGCAGAAGACATCGTGAATGAGTCGCTATGGCCCTTAGCTGAGCAAGCCTACCTAATATCGCCTCCACAAAACACCCAGCAAATGCGATCGCTACCTGAGAACGAAAAACCGCGCCTGAAGCGCCGGAGCATCAGCAGGCAAGCTCCTCCCACAGAAACACAGGCCAGCGTACCAACACGAGAGCGTGAGGATGCAACTGCCATCCCCCAGCCTCTTAATCGTAAGCGTGGGCGACCAAAATCGCGGCCTAAGATGATGGAAGCCTATACTGCGGAAGATCTCCTCTTCCAGGTCTCGTCTAGCCGCCAGTCAAATCTCGAGAAGAATCGGGTTGCCGCGCACAAGTGCAGACGGCGCAAGAAGGATTATATGGATAGCCTGGAAGGTCGGGCGCGGGAGTTCTCCGGCAAGAACAAAGTATTGAAGGAGAACGTTGCTCTGCTTCGAGAAGAGGTCCTCCGTTTGAAACATGGAGTTTTACAGCATGCCGGCTGCGGCTTCTGGGCAGTTGACGAGTATCTTGCTCAATGCGCTGGACATCTACTTGGTATGAAAGACCCCCATGGGTCACGCGCAAACTTGATGCATCACCAGCCAATCCGTCCACGGAAAAATAGCAACGAGTTTGCTCTTAGCCCAGGCAGCGTGAGTTTAGCTCATGATGCAGACGATTTTGGTGGCCTCGAAGTACTACTCAAGGACTACGGCGGTGAACTGGACATTCAACAATGATTCGCTCGCTTGCTCCACTTGGACTCTGCTTGCGCCAATATCTCGCCTTATCCAAGAGTCCATGCTGCAGCCGAAGGCCTATATAGTCCTGCTTTGCGTACATTACAGCACCAGATACAACTATTAAAGTGCGATATCAGGAGATCTTGCTACCACTGCAATCAGCCAGGATCTTACCTTTTATGGCAATTACAGCTCAAATGGACACTCGCTGATGTACCCCTCTCAATATCAATAGCATTGGTGAGCTGCTGGATGGGAGGAACAGGGGAAAATTACGGCCCATCCATCTCTTTCATTTCTAGCATGGAACACACTATTTATGCCTGCACCGCTCAGGTGTTCTGTAGTTACCATGCCTTCCATTAGGGTCAGTTGTTGAATGCTCACGTACCGCGATGGACCTTTTCTCCTATCTTGCGGATATTTATACATGGATATGTATCCCATGCGGCACAGGGGTCAAATTAAAACACTTCCTAGGCCACGGCCCCTCCTGTAGGCTAGCTCGAAAAGGACGAGGATCTTAGAGTAGCTGAAGAAAGTGGCAGATTAGAGTCGTTCCGTGACGCGTGGAATCAATGGAAAGCAGACAACATGTAGGAATATCTTCAGCAGAGTTTTCCTCAGCTCTACGAAAGCGCATAGGCCGACGTTTATGCATGTATCTATTCCCTGACATCTTAATGCTTAAAAATCGACCTATCTATCTTTATAACGCCCTTGCTTAATGTTAAGGACCTTTGCATAGGCGGGATGTTATGGCACTAGTTCGCAGATGCTTTTGCGGACTAGAGCAAAAAGAGTAAATAGTCTGTTCTAAGCATTATAATAAACATTTAATATTACGCTAGACTTTATAGAGTAGCTATATTAATATATCCAAGTTATAATAAGCTATTGTGTTCTTGATCCCTAGTAATATGCACGTGACTTTAGCGTTCCTAGATCTAGGGAAGGGAAATTGCCTTGCTATTTACTAGTATAACTTACATCCTAATTCAAGGCATACTTATATACTGCCTACCTTCTAAAAGCCTAGGTTAAGGGGCGCGTAGCTACTCTCTAACTAGAACTATTTAATAAATTATTCCTCTAATATCTATTATCTTAACATAACGCGTAGTATAATTAGGAGAAGATTTTAGCTTAAGGAGATACTACTACTTAACTTATAAAGAATTTGTTTATAACTAACTCTTATAGCTGCTAAAATTAGATTATAGCAAGATACTTAGAAATAATCTTAACTACTTTCTTATAGTTCTTAAGACTATTCTTAGTAAGTTTAATCTTAGTAGGGAAGGAAGCTAAGTTTAGGTAAAGTCTTTTAATATCTGCATGCAGATTATTTCCCTAGTCTATTACTTTAATAATAGTAAGAAAACTGCCTAGGAATCTGCTATTAAAGATTACTATATATATAGGATTCTATTCTATAGCCTATTTATATCTAAGTAGGTACTTAAAAGCACTACTTACTAGCTATATTGCACATTAATATAGATTGCTATAATTTATTAACTTGCTAGTTTGCTAGCAGAAAACTATAAAGATATAAGGTGTCTATAGGTATAGAAATTATACGTGTTAACAAGAGTATAGTAGATCTAGTCTTCTAAAATTATAACGCTTAAGCTTACTAGCTAACCTATTATGCTCTTGCTAGGTTACTAAAAGCAACGCAGTTAGTTAGTACATCCTATATATAGTTAGTATTATATTATTTTCTAGCTTGCTTATATAATAGCTAATGCCCTGTTATTATAGGTCTAAAGTAGGGTAAGAATGCTATATACTTGCTAGGATAATAATAGAGCTAGCCTATACAATCTCGTTATTGCTAATATAGACACTAGCTTAGGTAATGCATCTATTACTAATATAGATGTTTTTACCTATAAAAACTTTATAAGTAGTAACTATATGCTCGCCTCCTTCTAGTAACCTTATATTAGTAGGTTCCTTAAGCATTAAGATAATTATATAAGCATTAATTATTATATTTCTTCTAATTATAATCCTGCTAGAGTCTAGCAGTTAATAACTAGGTCTAATAATAATATTATCTCTAATAGAAAGGTTATAGCTATAGTTATAGTAAAATAGCGTAGACACATTAATACTATAACCTAAGTAACCTATAACCTAGCATTTGCTAGCATAAGAATAAACCTACTTAGCTGCAAGAATTTATTTAAAGAGCTATTAATGCTTATTAGGATTCTTCTACGCAGCTGTATTAAAGTATAAAGATACCTATAAGGAAAACTTATGCTTATAAGTAAGCTGTGCAGTGCTTAGCAAGAATAGTTCCCCTAATAGCATCTTATCCTTCTTGCCTTTCTAAGGCAAGGATAGTTATATATAGTAAGATAATAATAATACTTATAGTGCAGCTAGAACAGAAGCTATTAATAGCAGGAAATAAGATATATAATAATTATTAATAGTATAGGCTTTATAAGGTAGAGCTAGGGGTTCTAGCTATATATACTTAATAAGCTATATTATTACTAGTAGAAAATTAAATACTTTCTAGCTCTCTCTCTACTATGTTTAAGGTTTTATATTAGAACTATATAGTTGCAATAGATCTAGTGCTTAATATGCATGCTATTATAGTCTAATATAGGTTTTATACTAAAGGCTTAGTCTTCTAATAGTAAAAGTTAACACGCGTTCTAAAATATTAATAATTTAAACCTTATAATAGCTTGCAGCCCTGCTTATTAGTGCAGATAGGCTAGTCTTAAGCTATTATAATCCTACTTAATGCCTTAGGTTCTGCATAGATCTTCTAACTTAGTTTATACTATAGGTTATATATAATATTATAGACTAGACACTAAGTAATATAGGTAGTAACTTTTATAGAGGATATTTGCTAGTGCAGCAGTAGTACTAGCAGAGCATATACAGTATTATTTTTCTTTAACTATATAATCTCCTTAGTATAACCTATATATACTAAATTGCCTTATTAGTAGTTATTATACCCTAGTTTAGCCTTATTATATTTCTTCTTCTACTTTTAGTAAGTTCTACTATCTGTCCTAGTTTATATAATAAATTATTATCTTTTTATAGCCTATATCTAGTTAGAACGCTAATTAGTCCTAGCCTTACTAGAGGCGCTTCTATTATATTTAGGAGCAGTGCCCTTATGCCCTAAGGACACGTTTATAGATAGAAATTCTAGCGTACTAGGCTTATATCTATAGTTTTTATTATAGTCCTAAAGATTAGCACTTAAATAATGCTTAGTTATTTCCTGCTTAATAAAGGATGCTGTTAGGGATCTTTTAGCTAGTATAGCCTCTTTCCCTAAGAATCTGCATAAGTATCTAGTCTATGCTAAGTATAATCCTTTTCTCTTAGATAGAATCTTAAGAGGCCTGTCTCTAGCTAATATAGCAGGATTAGTAGAGTTACTAAATAGGCAGGAACTAGGCTCTTATAGAATATGCTTCTAAGCTTCTACGCACTAAAGCCTAGTTAAGTTATATAGCTAGAGTAAAGACAATCCTCTATTAATAGTAGTAAAGGTAGACACAGAGTGCTTCTTTAATACGTCTCTTACTAGCTATAGACTATAGTTATTTGCTAGCATGCGCAGCACAGCAGATATAGTAGGCAGGGATAGGATAAGAAGGAGCCTTATAGAAATAACTAGGACCTTTTTATAAAGCTCTTACCTAATAATATTTAACTAAGGTAGCGGTGTTCTAATAAATAGTAATGCAAAAAAAGGGTATTCTGCAACCCCTGCACCTAACTATGCAACATTTCTATTATAGAAAATAAGTAAGAAGTCTTAACTATAACTATTTTAACTAGGGATTTTAAAGTAGGTCTAGAGGGGCAAATAATGTTAAATAAATCTAAATAGGGCGCGTTAGTTATAGAAGCATAGTAGTTTAGGTAGGCCTCTGCATAGGCTATTAAGATGCAGAGTTATTAGGCTATAGCCTGTTATTATCTCCCTTTTACCTCTATGTTTTATTATTATATTACTCTACTCCTTATATCTTAAGAGTAGTAATAAACTATTAATATCTATAATAGGGCTACATTAGGACTTAGGATAGTAGATATGTTAGATAAGCTATTATTATATAATATATACTAGTTGCGTTATTAGCTATTAAGACTTCCTGCAGAGCTAAGAGACAGTATCTATACCTAGGTCCTAGCTTCTACCTGCATTACATATAGAGAGATGCCTAGGATAAGTTAGAAGATTAAGCTAATAACTAATAAAAGCTATTTATACCCCCTTAGACTTTTGCATATATGCTAATAGATAAATAAAGAGATAGGTCTATATTAGATAAGGTAGGCTCTTTTAGACTTTAAGTTGCCTAAAGCACTGCTAGATACTCTAACAAGATTGCTAATAGCTTGCGTTGCAGCTCTTTACTATTTCTAGGTTAGTAGCTAACCTATTATGCTATTATTACTATATAATAATATCTATTATAGACTTGCTTAGGTTATAAAGCTAGTACTATATCTTTAACTTAATATACTTACTATACTTAGAGGTTATATAAATAGCATTATAGGAGGACTAGTATAAGTTAATTACCTTATAATTAAAAAGATAATTATATATAGCACTAGCTAGAAGGAGCTTTATTATATTACCCCTAACTTATTAGTGCTAAGCTTCCTAAAAAAGGAGAGCTTTAGATAAATATACCTGCATAGACCTTAACTAGCTACTTAGAACTTAGTACTTTCTTAATATAATAGGCTAAACTTAGGAGGTTTAGTAATAATATATTAATTAGGAGCAAATATAGAGCATTTGCAGCTTCTATATTATAAGTAAAATATTTTCTACTAAGTTATATCCTTATAATATCTTAAAGACTATAGGCTCTTAGAGGATATATTTCTTGCTATAATAACTAAAAGAGAAAAAGCAATAACTATTATTATTAAGCAAGGTTAGACTGCAGATATTATAAGAGAGGTAGTTAACCCGCCCTATAAGTATAAATATAATATATAGGCTTTATTATTAAATATAATATAGTTCTAAATTTATAAAAATAATATAGAGGGTAGAGCTAGCAATTATAAAGCAGATTTTAAAGATTTATATAAAGAGAACGCCTATAAGATAGACTTAGATACTTTAAGCAATCTGTTATCTATAGAGGGGAGGGTCTAGTTATAGAATAGGGATATATATCTAACCTAGATACTATATACCTAAACTATACTAATAGGGTATAATTAGGTTGCCTCTAGGGGCAAAAATAGTAGTTATATTAGTATATAGTTATATAGATAACGCATATATAGCTGTTTTTTAGAAGTTTAAATAAGGTTCTATTAGTATGTTAGCATAGATACTTTATAGAAGTTTAATTAATATTTTAGTAAGCATTAGCTAGTAGATAATTATCTACTATTAACTGCATTATACTATAAACTGCTACTCTTAATATTGCTGCGTGCATATCTTATTTCCTAACACTACCTATAACACTATATTATATATTTGCTTTTTTCTTTTTACCTTAGAAGGTTCTTCTCTATTTAGTATAGTAGATAATAGCTGCCTTTAAGAGGATATATAAGTATAAAATCCTAAGAAGTTATACTATTCCTAACTAACGCATTAATATTCTGCTCTGCGCGCCTTAATAGCGCCTAGGGCCTTCTCTAATCCTCTTGTATAGATAAGCCCTATAATCTATAACGTGTGTATAGTCTATTAATTTATAGTCTTTTTATCTACTCTATAATCCTATTTAAACCTACTGCATTTTAAATAAACTTAGGAAATAGCAATTATAATATATTAGTAGAAGGTAATATTTAGGTATATCTTAAGGTGCTTCTTAGCTTTATTTTTTAAGACCTAAGTTAAACGCATACTATCCTAGCTCCTATTGCCTTTTAGCTATAGAAACGCAGATATAGAATCTCTTTAACACTATACTAGCAGATTAAGCTTCCTCTAGAAGGGCAAGATAAACTATAGGTAGTAGATAATAAGCTTGCTAACTTCTTTTAGTAGGTATTAATAGATAATCTTTGTTAAACTAACGATGTTATATCCTTTATAGTACGCTGTTACTGTGCTAATTAGGCTGTTTTTAATAAAAATGCTGCAATAGTGCCTATTTACTATGTTGCAGTAGTATAAGCTTAGGAGTTTAGTCCTATAAGCTAGCTGTCCTGTAGTAAGATATATTAAAAGGAGTAGTTACTCTAAGAAGGAGTTAATCTTTGCAACGTACTCCTTTGCTAAAGAAGGTTTCTAAACAACTTTAGCATCTTTCTTCTATACCTCTATAAACTTAGTGCGCAGCTTATTAGCGTTTAAGACATAATTAAGCATCTACTGCTTGCTATTTAGTAAAATAGTCTGATTATAGGGATCTCTAATAAAGCTCTAACCTTTGCTGTTACGCGTTAGATCGTCCTTAAGATTACATAGTTCAAAAGCAGGAATGATATCTTCTTGTTGTTTGTTGCCATGCAACAGGAAAAGCTGGTCTAACTCTGCTTGCGCCAAGTGGACTGCATAATCGTGTTGGACGACCGCCTGTAAAGCACGCCTCAACAGTGACAGCTACCCTACAGCAGTGGCCGTGTATCTTAGCTAGTTTGAAGTAGCTTCTACTAGAACTACACAATACAGTCGCGGCTATGAGCTTCCTTGAAGATCTTACAAAGCTAATCGCATAGATGTACAGAGCGCTCTTCTGAACATTCTTGTGACGGATGCTTTTGTTTACGACTCTACAGTCTCATTTCCTCTTGTGCGTGTTGAGATGGTTCGGCGCAATCAACAATGGCGCGCTCGGACTGCTGACACTTGTTACCGCCGGTAGCGTCGGGCGGATTTAACTTGTCAGCTGGTTGCAGATTGTCACAACGTCACTAAGTCAGCCCGAGACTAATCTCATTGATTGCAACAACAAGCTTAACCCCAGCATGCAAGAGACGACATTACAATTGGAAAGAGATTGCCCAAGCCATTACTGTTTAATCTTTAGTTATTTGATGGACATGGGGTCGCCAGCATTACACGGGCGCTCGCATAACCTGGCGAACGCAGTACTGAGACATCGTCATTTTGAAAAGTAATTTTGCCCAGGGCTTGGCTTAGGACTATGCGAGAGGACGTTCCACTTTTAACAGCGATAGTGTGGAGTTTCTTGAAATGCAACTGCGTAAACCATGGCTGTGCAAAGTACTGTTGCAGCGCTGCATACGTATAACTTGAGCAACATGTCTTTCCTTACAAGATCACCAACACCAGCAGTCGTTCATAACCAAATCCGTGCAGAGACGTACTGCAAGCAATTTTCAGCGATATAACGACCATGATCGGACGCAATATCGCCGCGATCGGCGGTACTGTCATCGCCACTGCAATGACAGTAGCAGCTCAAAACATGTCCTTCGGAGCCAACAACTTTTATGTCAGCAGCAACGTCACGGTGGAACCTATCACTTTCCCAAATCAATTCCAGATGAACCTCGCTGGCAACCTTTTCCTCCCCAGCAACCTCGATCGCAGCGTGAATGCATCTGCTATCGTCGTTGGTCCTCCCTTTGGCGCGGTGAAGGAGCAAAGCGCAAACCTCTACGCCGCAAAGCTGGCTGAGCAAGGCTTTGTTACGATTTCTATCGATCCTGCGTACTGGGGCGCAAGTGACGGCGAGCCACGGAATGCGGTGCTACCGGACATGTATGCAGAGTCGTTTAGCGCAGCGGTCGACTATCTCACCCTACAGGACTACGTCGACCGTGAACACATCGGTGTTCTTGGTATCTGCGGGAGCGGTTCCTGGTCAATCACTGCCGCGAAGATTGACACTCGCATAAAGGCTCTCGCGACAGTGAGCATGTACGACATGGGCGCTGCTTACCGCGACGGTATGCAGAACGCGGTCAGCTTCCAGCAACGCCAGGCCGCAATTGTTGCTGCATCGCAGCAGCGACAGACCGATGTCGACGGTGGCGAGACTGGTTACACTGGCGGAACCCCGCAAAGGATTACAGCGAACTCAACCGAAATTGACAGAGAATTCTTCGACTTCTACCGCACTTCCCGTGGCGAGTTCACTCCTGAAGGCTCCGCACCCACTCTTACAACGTACCCAACCCTCTCATCCGCGATGAGGCTCATAAACTACTACCCGTTGGAGGGTCTGGATATCCTCCACCCGCGTCCCGTCTTGTTCATTGCAGGCACTGAGGCACACTCGCGCGAGTTTGCTGAGGATGCCTATCACCTGGCAGCTCATCCCAAGGAATTGTTTTGGATCGAGGGAGCCGGCCACGTTGACCTCTACGACCGCACAGAGCTGATTCCGTTCGGAAAGCTCACCGACTTTTTCCAATCAAGCCTCGCCGCGGCCAACGCCACTATCAACTCCCTCCGCTGAACCGGTGGTCCCTCAGCTTCAGTTCAGCGTCCAATCATTGCACGGCTTGATTCTGGGTGAATTCACGGTGGGAAAGCAATCATGGTCTCAGGAAGCGGGGCCTGCCTTATCTTCCTGGTCTGCCGCACTACTCCAGTGACAGTCGCACCTGGAAACAATCCATCTCCTGCAGTTTTTAAAGCTATAATGAATCATGGCGTTCAACCACTGTATCAAAAACGTTCCGATGAGGTATGATTGAGGTTGCTGTGAAGTTACTGAATATCCTATCACACGGATCTCGAATGGATTGCTCTGCCGAATTCCACTTCCTGAATTGCAGTTCAGCCATCCGTATCCGGAAATTTACCTTGTCTCCTGCATGAAACCACGTTTGTAGACCCTGTAAGCTCATCCAAGCCTCTAAAACGCTACCCGATCTAGTATTTCGCAAGCTAGATGTGCCAACACCGCCATCGAAACTATCAGCTAGGACACTCCGAATCGCGGTGCCATACACTCAACGAGCTCAGGCGTCCTGGAACGCACGAAAGGCACCATGACCTTGGCATAGCTAGTAGTCATCGTACTTGCGGGATCAGGGGGTTGCACATGGCCGCGTGAACCTGATCTCGCCGCATTAAGTGCAAACCCAATCCTGCCCCAGTATCTGTTTAGAATGTTGACGTGTTTCAAGGAGATGATAGCGCACCACCCCCCGCGCTGGTTTGACACCTACACAGTCGCTGTTGCGGCTGGCACACATGGACGCACTTTGCGAGCGAGCTACTTCACATGACACGTCCACCATAGGCACCGGTAGCCATCTAGCGACGGCGCGACAATGCAAGTCACGGTGTCAGAGCCTAGATACCCCTTCAGCACAACAGTCACTATAAACACACAGCAGTCACTGATGAGCTTCCTGTTTGGGCCGTCAACATGCGACAATTTCTGCAACATCTCACATTTACAAGCCTACAGAACCGGATCACTTCTCGTGCGAATTGCATCGCAATCATGTGGAATGCTACCATCAGCGCCACAGAACACCTCTAGATCATTAGATAGCCTCGTCGATTGTCGCCTCTCCTGTGTCGAAGGCGTGATGTTCCTTCGACACGCCTGACAAGGTATGAGTAGATTCGCGCGAGAGCTCTTATCTTTAGTGAGCTTGGTGGCACGCACGAGCGGTGCACCGGCTTTGTGGAACGGCATCGCTACTAAACATTGCTGTTGCTGAGCGCGATGGCAGATCACGCCACACAACACAGCCGCATATTAACCTACTAGACAGCATACAACACTAAAGAACCTTGGCGGTCGGGAATACATCCCAGAATCTGAAGGCACGAGGCAAGCTGACGACAGCTAAAAGCTAGAGAGTGGTTCAAGGTATTGCGATCGCAAAGCACGATGCGAATGCACTTTTACGATATGTTGTACATGTGCTCAAGCTCATGGTCATACTCATTAAGCTCACCCATTGAGGTGAGCCAGTTGCGCTGACAGCGGGAGGAAGCGCGTAACCCACCTATCAGAGCAAGGAGCTCAGGAAACGGCAGACGCAAAACTTCGAACCGTAGCTCTTATAGGCGGCAAGTGACGCGCCGTCAGCCTCTCAACATATCCGATAAGGTCAGTCTCCTGCCAGTCGATGAGTTTGCGACTGTTTGGTGTCCTAATCTCTCGGGGCACCTGCACGCGCCGGTGCGTGCGAGCGACACAACGTAGAATGCGCAACACATTGTTTCTTGAGCAATGGGGGTACACAAAAGTTCTTTGTCTGGCTCCAATTTGAGAATTCCTTCAAGCGCATCTTTACTTCCTGGCATGGTTAGTTGAGTTGTTACGCGTTGAAAACATTGTTGATGCGATGCGCAGGGCGTTCTGATGTCCGTGCACAATGTCTCCGCCTTTTCCTGCAACCTGCTGACAGTACTAGGTCATTGTTCATAAATGGACGCGTCCAGCCATCGGTTGCGAACAGTGCGCTCAACTTGAGAGATTTTGTGCACCTTGTCTTGCTATACCTTTGCGCAGCCGAATTGTGACGTATTGAGTCTGGCCGTAGTTATTGAATAATTGCGAATAACCAACCCGTCTATCGGGGCCTATGGACTGGCGACCTTGATGTCATGCCATCCCTGCCTAGGTCACTCTAGGTTGAGCGCTAGTTTCTGGATCATCGTTTGGGTGCTATGAGTCGATGCCCTCCATCGGTCTTTGTCTTCATGTCGAGGTAGACCTAGTCTTAGTGCATTGTATAGAATTTTTTTCCTTCAGATCAGAGAATGGCAACATCTCGACTCCATCGCAATAAATAATAGCGGCTTTGTCTCCAAGTTTGCCTCCTCGGAAACAAGCAAGCAGGCGACCTCGCGGCGGACCCACAATCAGAATACCACATTCCCAAAACGAAACCTATCTTTGATAGTCTCACTCAATGGACTCTGAGTTACCTTCCGGCATAGGCGTAAGGACGTGGATGCAAGTCTTCCGCGCCTAGCTTGCCATTCTCAACACCTGGGGCTTTGTGAACGCTTTTGGAGCATTTCAGACGTACTACACGAGCGTGTTACCGGAGTCACCGTCGACGATATCATGAGTTGGTAGTACACAATCGTGCCTGATGTTGGCTTCTTTCGGTCAACCACTATGGTGGGCATCTCTCTCCAACTTCTTGGTATCTTTACGATGAGTGTCACCAAGAATTACTGGCAACTCCTCCTTACGCAGGGTATGTGTACAGGCTTAGGGGGCGATATTTTCTTCCTGCCGGTCACGGGGCTCGTAAGCACATACTTCACAAAAACGAGAGGCTTAGCATTGGCAATTGTTACAACAGGAACGTCCGCAGATGGTCTCATCTACCCGGTCATAATGCAGCAACTGATAGAAAAGGTCGGTTTTGGTTGGACGGTCAGGGTGCTTGGCTTCATGAACACAGTCAGTCTAGCTGTTGTGATTGCTTTCATAAGGCCCAAGTCTAACCCAGTGTCGCGAGGGCCGCTTCTCGCAGAGCTGCATTCAGGGATTCACTGTATATGCTGCATGCACTCGGTCTGTGCTTGCTGATGCCTTCAGTTTACTTTGTGTTCTACTATGTAAATTCTTCTCCGCTCTTTGTCATGCATTCTTGATTGATTTGTGCTCAGGTAGCATCCTTCGCGAGGGATGACATCGGTGGGCGACGCCACACCGGCAAACTACTTTGGCAAAACCCGCTCGTAAATGTCATCGAGATGTGGAATCCGCGCCACACCACTTGGGGAGATAGTCTGTTTTGTTTGTTTCTTTGACCCCTACTCGATTTCAGCTGTGATGCCCCTATATCTATGCCCGATTGACAGGCTTGTCGAAAAGCCGACGCGGTGCGGACATTGATCCACTCCGCACCATTTTATTTCAAGGAACCAGCTACTTCTAACGGCCTGCCGCTTCCCTCCAACCACTATCTAATACCCCCAGGCCCGCCTAGATAACGGTTCTACTGTTTTACGCGGTTGCAATGGTATAGGACCTAATCACATCAAATCAATCAAATCAGCTGAAACCGTGTAGGAATCACCAGTAAGCCAGCCGATCCATGATCCTTCTCAATCCGCATTATGCACTATCCACACGGGCCATGTCTGCATGCCGCGCAACATCCAATAGATCAAGCTGTCAGCAGTGTGCATAACCCCGACATTCAACCGCTAGGCTCTGTGTGTAATGTGTTGTTGTCATTTCCCTCAAATTGCGCAGTCCAAATGAAGCTCTTTGGGCAGCCTCAAAGCCTCGTCTAGCTGTCACTGGCCGTGCATCGGTGCGGAACTCGACCCTGTTGCGGGAGATCAGCCGCTGAAGGTGACGTGGATGCGTGCGAGTGCGTGGTGCAAATACTTAATGGTAGGTGCCAAGTAGTGAAGAAGATATCGCATTTTTAAGGGTCGATTGGAGCTACCCAGCTGCCCTGAACGGCTCTACCAGCTGCTGGATATATAATGCAAGGCGGTAGTACTTATCCATTGGCGCATATTGTCGCTAGGAGGGTCACCTACTTGCGGTTATCATCGTGGAGACTCTGCCTGAACTGCTTTGATTGATATAGGGCCTTGTCAAAGATTTGTTGATTCCTCCCAGCGACTTCAATCGCGAAGCCCTTCTAATCCATATTGTAGGTATTCTCAGGCAGTACGTTGAACTCAGCCATTTTGGTGTGCAGTAGTTTAAAGTATACCTTGTATTTCTTATGTGAATCGGCGTAGTGACGGCTAGCTTCCATAGGCGTTGCCCACGCGGAGTGTAGTAGGTTTGGGTAGCGACGGAGAAGGCGTGTAATTCTGCTCTCAGATGCACGGTAGCAGACGAGTCTCTGAGAGAAGGTTCAACGCGGATATTACCCTGAAGTAAAAGCGGCGCAATTCCGCAAGAAATAAGTAACCGCCCCAGAATCACACAAGCACCGGCAATCTCTCCGCACGAACCACGAACATTACACTGAACACACAGGAAATCGGTGTATAGCCCTGACGATCGTTAAAGATCAATTAATAGCAAGCCTCAAATCTCCCAAGATGGTTTGTCTGGAACATGCTGAGGGCATAGCTTACGAGGACAGCTTGAGGAAGACAGATTGCACGATTTCAGCATGCCCTCCAAGCATGAGCACGACCAAGACGATTCAGCTGAACGGGTTCGCTTGATGCCTCGGCAGCGCCTACGTTTCAACTATCATGAACATCACCATCATTTGAAGGATGCCAGCATCCAGGCACCTCGCGAGAGCGACATTCGCGAGAGCGAGATTCGCGAATGCAACCCCGTGTTGCGTAGTCTCTTCGGTCACACCATGGCATAATAGTAAAGCCTGTCAGGCCGAGCCGGTAATGAGATGATCAACCAATATATGCAGCTTCACAGCTATGGAGATATAAAAGATGCATTCGAGCCCACAACACAGCTCATTAATTAAATAGTTTTCCGTACTTCTCATTATCCACTGGGAATCATGCGCTCTACCTTTTTCAACCTCGCTCTCCTAGCTGGAGTGTCTCTAGCCCACCCTCACAGATATGCGGCTAATGGTACTTATGAGCAAGAGACTCGCAGCATGGACGAGATCTACCAAGCAGCGTTGGCTGAGGGCGGCGTTGTTACCCTCTGGCACGGTGGTGACGAGCCTGGGCAGCAGGACTTCTTAAAGCAAATGTTCGAAACTCGCTTTCCCAATATGACTCTCAACGTTACCGTCGACGTGTCCAAGTACCACGACGGCAACCTTGACCTCCAGCTCGCAGCTGGCAACGTCTACATTGACAGCATCATCCTCCAGACCCTGCATGACTATCCACGCTGGAAGAAGGAGGGCGCTTTATTGAACTACGCTCCAGTCAACTTTGACAGTATCTATCCTGTCTTCAAGGATGAAGATGCCGCCTACGCTGGTCTCTTTCTCATCTCCTGGTCTATCCAAGCCAACACCAACAAGATCGACACGGTGCCGACTTCGTACCAGGACTTCACCAAGCCTGAGTTCAAGGACAAGATTGTGCTCACCTACCCCAACGATGACGATGCTGTGCTGTGGCAGTTTGACCTCCTGTAAGTCTTACCCTCCGTCCTTGTACATTGCTTGACTGACTCATCCACAGACTCAAGGACCCCAACTTCGGCTATGAATGGTTCGAAGCCCTCCTCGCCAACAATCCTCGCTGGGTCAGGGGCACCGCCACTCCCCCAGCGCTCATGAATTCGGCCAACAGCAGTAGCGCAGCTACTTTCACAACATTCCATCCCTTCGGTCAAAACCGCACAGACTACAGCGCCGTCCACCCTACTGTAGGCAACTTCACCTCCTGGGCACAGACCGGCGCTATCTTGAAAGACGCACCGCACCCTGAGGGCGCCAAACTGCTACACAACTACCTCCTAAGCGACGAGTATCAGCAGAACCAGTGGAGCACAAGGAGTGATATTGCGCCGCCGCCCGGTGCAGAGAGGCCGCTTGAGGAGACTAACTCGTATGCGCCCGACTTCATTACGTGGATGGCTGATCGCGAGAACGTGGAGAGGCTGAGGTTCTACTTTGAGGATAAGATCGGTACTCCGCAGGGTCTGAGCCCGCTTGAGGATGACTTGTAAGCGAATATAAACGGTAGTTCTAGATAGACGCTAGCGCGATGTACATAAGGGTGGCGTGCATTCATACAACGAGTGTTTTTGAATTCTTGGGTGCTTGAAACTCTTGGCGCACTACCGGTACCGTGTCCGTGCGCGCAATGCGCGGATTCGCGCAATGCGCCGAACCCACCTAATAGGTACCTGTAATAATGAGGCTGCACAACCACGTACAATAGCTATTACTATATAATAATGTAGTAGAGTGTTCTGTAGATATATATAAAGAGATTTTGCTATATAACTTAATTATATAGAGTTGCAGTGCGGCCGCTACGGGTCTTATGGGTACGAGGAGGTGGAGGAGGCGTTGCAGGCTTAGGTGCCCTACGAGCACCTACACCACGACGCGCAGGCTTCTTCTTAGCTGCTGCAGCTTTTGAGGGCCTGCCTCTGCCTCTTTGGGATAATTGTATGGCTTTTTGAGAGTTCTGAAGCTTTTTATCACGCTCCTTTATAGCTTTCTGTTCGGCTTCTTCTGCAGCCTTCTGAGCCTTGGCCTGCTCACGCTCTTCCTTCTCTCTTGCTCGCCGCACACGCTTCTCCTCTGCAATCTTCTCCTTGTATAGCTTATTAGCCTTCCTAAGCTCAGCCATCTCAGCTTTTCTAAGCTCCTCTGCGCGCTGCTCTTGTTGTTTAGTCTTCTCACGCTGACGAGCTTCCTCTACCTTCCGAGGCGACCAGAAAACTGCTCCACCTTGTGCCCACTTCTTCTGTTGCAGATTAAGAGTCCTGCTCTTGTTCTTGTGCTTCTTCTGGGTCTTTAGGACCTCCTTTAGGCCTGCTATCTCGTGGTGGAGTAGTGAGTTCTGAATTGAAATGTGGTGGAGTGAACGGCTGATCTTCCTCAGCTCCTTACTACCTTCATCCTTAGCTACCTTACGCAGTAAGGTCTCAATTTTGAGCCAATCCTTGCCAGAATAGACTGAATTAGAGCTTGAATTGCTATCAGAAGCTTCTGGGGAGTCCTTGGCAAAGCGTTGGAGTATAACGTTAGGTTGGAGGGGTACTATACCCGTTGCCTCAAAAGACTTAAGTATTAGCCCCTGAGTGAATGTACTCATCCAGGCCTTCCAGAATAGGTGGAAGAAGTCACTCTTCTTGATCACCGATAGTCCCTGGCCATTGTGAAGGTGTGTTGTGAGCTCCTTTGAGTACGCAGTTGAGAGAGGCTTAAACATTACTACATCTAACGGCTGCAGTGTGTGCGTTGAGTGAGGAGGAAGGATAGCTAGGAGTATCCTATTCTGATCACAATAGTCAATAAAATCCATTGTTACATGGGATCCATGGCCGTCAAGGATTAGGAGGCGCCAGTTCCTCCGTGCCTTGGTCTTGGTGAAGCGATCAAACACCTGCTGAAGCCAGGCAAGGCCTATATCGTTGTTGGTCCAGCCAGTAGGGGATGAGGAAACAAATACTGAGTGTACCCCTGGCTCTATCTCCTCCACCCAGCTCGATTGCAGGGTACTGTTGGCGGAGTCGTAGAGGAGACCTGGCGGCAGTGCCGTCCCATCACCGCACACACAAGCCAGTAGCGTCACCCATGCCCTATTACCATCTTGGAGTGATGCCTTGACCTCCCCCTTCTCCCACATCCGTCTACTGAAGACGTGTTTCGTCCTGGTGGTGACCCCTATCATAAAGCCCTTCTCATCCATATTGTATGTGTGGCAGCTGTCAACCTTATATTCGGCGATCTTGCGTTGTAGTAGGTTGAAGTAGAGCTCATACTTTTGATATGAATCGGCGTTGTGGCGATTGGCGTCCATACCCGTTGAGTATTTGGAGATGAGATGGATAGCGTAGGTGTTGATGAACCGGGTAACCCAGCTCTCGCTCACGCGATCCTTGGCCACAGAAGACGCAAAATTTTGTATCATCTCCCTTGTAGGAGGTATAGAACGAGCAGTGAGCTCTCTTATATAAGTTACAAGCTCCTCCTCTTGTTGGGGGGTGAGCTTCTGTTGTGCAATAATCTTCTCCTGATGCGGGCGCGTCTCACCCCTCCATGTGCGCGTCAACGTTGACCGCACAACACCATGCTTTTGTGCTATTTTGGTCCACGGAATCTCATCTTTAGATGCAAAAGTATCACACTCTAAGAGGGCTTCTTGTAATCCCATCGCGTTGTGTTGTTGTGGACGTGTGAGTATAGAGGTGTTTTGGTGGTTCGGCGCATCACGCGAATCCGCGCATCACGCGCACGGACACGGTACACCTACGTTATAGAAAGGAATATAAATTAAAATATAGATAATAAACCTTTTATATAGCAAAAAAAAAGTAGGTAGTAAGTAATAAAGGTATAGAAAATAGAATTAGAGCATATAAGATTAAAGGGTGGGTGGTGGGCCCTGACAGTCAATGCTTTTCGAATTAGACCCTAATTTATTTGTTTGCGGCCCGTGCGGCCCCTTCGGTTTGTAGGGCGGGGCGACCCTAATTCATTTACTGCTTCAACAATAGAATTAGACCCCAGCGCCACGCTGCCGGCTGGATGCGACCCGGCGAAGAGGTGCAACCGAACCCTGCGCGCATTTTGCACTTTTCAGGATCGCTGCACGACCACTGCGTGGATGGAAAAGTAGATGACGTTGCGGGTTGGAGGTGAGGTTGGTGGTTCGCGGGGCCGGCCCCTTCCCACTTGTAAGCGAGCGGCGCCCCCGCGCGCGTAGAGACTAACTATATACCATAACATACAACAAGCGCTAGCAACCACAACTCAATACAATACACCAACGCTCATGCTATATAGCTTTAAACAGCTCAGGCAGTGTTGTCTGGCGCAGAGACGCCGCTGGCGCGCTCTTGAAGCGAACCTGCGACTGCGCAATCTCAACGCGCCTGTCTGCTTCCTCTTCTTCCTCTTCTTCCTCGCTGTCGTCTTCGCTGTCCTTAATCTCCTCCACCTCGCAAGTCGTCTCTGGAGCCTTGACCTCGATGCTCAGCGTTTTCTTCCCCTTGATCTCGCCTCCCGCAATGCCCTCTGGGCCCAACCATTCATCGAATTGCTTAGCTGCGAGACAGACATCCGGACGCTCCTTCCTGACCAGCTCGATGAAGACGTCGACGCCCCAGGAGCGGATCTCGTGCTCGATCCAAGTCTTCGGTATGGCGTCGTCTGGCATGACCAAGAGCACGCCCCAGCCCAGGCCTTCAGCCACCCTGTACCACTTGAATGCTCTAGCGAGCCGCGCCCGAAAGAGATCCTGCTCTTTCTTAGAAGGGTTGGGGTTGGAGTTGACCAAGTGCAGGAGAGAGTCTATAGCCTCTGTTCGGCGGAGGCCCTTGCCGAATCGATTTGTCTTGTCGCTGCTGACGAGCTTGTCGCTGTGTTCGATCTGCGCTAGCTTGTCGGCCAACGCCTTGCCCAAGAGCGCCTGCGCCCACCTGTACTCGATGTGCACTGACTTCATCACCTCGTTGTAGACGTTGCACCGCTCCCACGCGGAGCAGAACGCTCGATCTGCGCTGCTCTGCTGTGAGGGATTGACCAACATTGCACGCAAACGCTGCAGCTGCGAAGAAGGGGCGTTGTACCGCGCAGCCACTCCGCCACTGAAGAGCGTTCCGCGCTTTCGCCAGACCTGGAGGAAGTGGGCAGCGTGCTCTTGAGACGACGAGCTCCCAAGAGCGCGCGCCTTGGCCACGAACTCGCGTGCCTTTAGGTAAGGCGTCTTGACGGCGTTGTAGAAGTTCAACTTCTTCTTGTTGCCGCTTACGGCTTCCTGCTTGAAAAGCCACGATATGACCTCCTTGTCCTTGGAGGATATGGACGCGTAGGCGCCACGTTCATCGTCGCCTGCTTGCTGGTCTGGCGCGACGAGGCCAAGATCCAGGCTGCGCTCTATCAGGGCAGCTTCGTGTTTCTTGATGCGTTCCCGCTCAGCGCGGCGGTTGTTGTTCGTGACTGTGGTGGTGGTGCGCGGCTCCTCTACTGGCCGCTCTCCGGGCTGCTCTCCTGGCTGCTCTTCCAGTTCGCTGAGTTGCTTGGATGGCTGAGGGCTGGCTGCCGGCGTCTCGACCGCTTCTGCGCGAGCGCGCTTGGGCGACAGCGCTGGTGCAGAGGGTGCTGGTCGTTTCTTGCGTTGGGTTAGAGGGGAGGCAGACGGCTTCTGCGCAGACGGCGGCTCCACTGTGCCATCTTCTGCGAGCGACTGGGCCGCGCAGACCAGACGGTCCCAGATACCGTTAGGCAGGACGTCGTTGGCGAGCGTCTCGCGCAGAAGCCAGATCGCCGACAAGACGGAGTGGGCAATGAAGACGGGCTTGCAGACGCTGGCATCGTCATGGGTGGGGATCAGCCATCCTGCGCTGTGCGGACGAGCATCTGGATCACGCTGCGAGCGTGAGATGGTTGCTTGGCAGAAGAAGAGCTTCTTGTAGTCCTCATTCGGCGGTTCATACCTATACTTGCTGCTGAAATTCGCTTCGCTGGCGAGAGGGAAGCTGCGAGCACCGCCGTCGAATCGCTCAGCAGCATTGTACAGCACCGTAGACCAGTGCATGCTAAAGAGGTGTGTGTTGCTTCAGCAGGCTGTAGGACAAAAGCAAGATAAAAGGTAGTGCTGGGGGCGGGGGCTGGTTTTTGACCGGGTCCCCTGAGGCGCGCGTTGGCCTAATGCACGAAATCGGGCCGCGCACAGATGTACAAACCACACCACACCAACTAGCGTTGGCGGAACTTGAAGAGCAATCAACCTAAAACAACGTCTTGATAAGAGCGCGTCGATCTGCAGCAGCAGTCAAAATAGAGAGGGTTGTCTCTCATAAACTATGAACCCTAATAGCGTTTCCTGTCTATATAAACACCAACACAATTACATGGAGTTGTTTGACAGCGTCTTTGCATACCTTCCTACTCACTATGTAGCCGTCTGCAAGACTCACTGTCAAGGTGTATTGTCGTCGCAGGTGTCCTCCCACCTACACAGCAGCCACCAGGAGCTGACTGTAGCAGCACGGAAGGCGATTGCGTCTGCAGCCAGAACGCTCATGGGATGGGCAGCGTCTGCAGACGAGGTTGTATATCCATTGTCTGAGGCATAGCTACTACCTCACTTGGCCCTGTATAAAGATGGATTCAAGTGTAAAGTAGAGCTATGTAAATACATCGTGCGCGCGCCGCAGGGCATAAAGGACCACTGCAGGAAGGAGCACGGGTGGGACAACCCACGCAGGAGAGGGCGGCCGCATCAGGGCGCACAACCACCACCAGGCAGCCAGATGTGGACGGAGGAAGTGTGGTGCCAGAAGTTCCAGCCCACCGGCCAGCTTGGACGGCTGTTCGAGGTCAGCCAGCCTGCAGATGAGGCCACGCAGGGCGTCGCCGTTGAAGAGGAAAACCTGCAACGCGCCCTCGAGACGTCGTTCACCTAGAGCAGCATAGCGGTAGAGAAGGCTCAGCACGACGCGCACGGCTAGATTGAGCCAGACAGCAACCGCTACGTTTGGCGCAAGTGGCTGAGAAGAAGCCGCTGGGCTCGCCATCTCGGTCATTTCGATCGCAGCTGGCTGCTGACGCAGCTCCAGAGGCCCAGCAAGACAGAGAAAGCGCTCGCGAGGGTGTGCTGGGCGGTCGAGATGGTCATCTACAAGGCCCAGCGAGCATCGTTGCCCGAGGTGGTTGGGTTCCCCGCTGTGCAGTACATCGAGCGCCGCGAGGTGGGAGCGCCAGACAGCGAGCATCCGTTCAACGCGCTCCAGACAGGGAAGACGATGATCAAGTACAGTCGCTGCTGGCTGTCTATCGTCTGCTATATCTGGCGGACGCACAAGCTGGCTGAGCCAGAGCCAGAGCCACAGGCTGCCAGCGCCGCAGACGACGACAACGACGACGACGACGACGACGATGTGCTCAGCCAGCGACTAGACGATGGTAGAGCAGGTACGCAGGAGACTTCAACAGCAAGAATAATCAGCGGGAGAAAGCCGCGGTATCTACTGACTGGCAAACAATTGCAGGCGCTGTGGCGGATCCAGCAGGTTGTGTGTGCGGAGCAGCCCAGCAGCAAGAATACAGACAACAACGATGACAATGAAAGCGAGCTGGACGATGCCACAGAGAAGAACCTAGAGCGCCTTGTTCTCGCCTTTCTACTTTCGCTGCTTGACCACCACGTCAAGGACGATTACTACAGGAGCGCCCTGGTTAGCGCAACCGCCGTGCTAGGCGTTGACCGCGACCGCGGGTGGAAGAGCCCCCTCGTGTACACAACGTCGCTGTCTGCTATTGTGACAGTGGCCAAGATGCTAGTGCTGTACAGCGCAGTGCAGGCGCGGAAGAAAGCGGTAGCAGATCTTATAGAGGCAGAGTCGTGGGCGCAGGAGGACGCAGAGGACATAGCGCGGAGCCACGTAGAGCTGGTGCAGGAGATGGTTAACCGCTTCATGACGCTAAGCACGCACGGAGGCCTGCCCACGCCCATGGACTGGGTGCTACGGCTGCGGGCGTATGGCAAGAAGATCAGGGGCGAGGTGACCGCGGAGGGCACTGTTCAGTGGGTGGGAGACACGATCCTGCACGGCTACACGCAGTACAGCATGCCCGCGCTGCGCTCGATGATCCACGGCCTGGTGGAGACGACGCGTAGGGAACTGGAGAGGGACTTGCTGCTTCTGGACGTCGACGAGCTCGGCGAGCTCGCTGAGGGAGCGACCCCGTTGCTGACGATCGAATGGGACAAGATCGTGGACAATCCCGCCGAGCTGCGGTCCGGGTTTAACTTCTTCCAGGACAAGCGCAACACGTTTGGCGGCGTAGACGGAAGCTGCTGGCTAGACCAACGGATTGTCAAGGAGAAGAAGCTGCGAGAGGCGTTTGTCGACGTGAAAGCCTTCGTGCCTGGTGGGAGCGGTGTGACGTGGGTGGAGAAGCGGGTGCAGAGATACGAAAAGGCGCTGCGGCTGTTCCGCGAGCACTTGCTGGTGCTCGTGCACATGACAGGTGGTGCGCCTGCCCGCGGTACAGAGCTGGTGACGGTCACGCACACCAACCTGCCCAACGCAGAGAGCCGCGGGCTGTTCGTCGAGGACGGGCTGATGGTGTACGTGACCATGTACCACAAAGGCATCGGGCAGACTGGCAATGCCAAGGTCATTCACCGCTACCTGCCGCGCGAAGTGGGCGAGCTGCTGTTCTACTACCTTTGGATGGTCCTCCCGTTCTGGCAGAAGCTGGAGCGCGCATCGAGCAGGCGCCACGTGCCAGCGCCCAGCGCCTTCCTATGGGAGCCGGTTAGAGAGGAGGCGTGGGCTGGCCCGCAGCGAAGGAAGAAGCAGCGGCTCGTCGACGAAGATGAGGAGGAGGACAGGGAGGGAGTTGGAGAAGAAGAGGAAGAAGAAGAGGGAGATGGGAGCAACAAAGACGAGCGCAGCACCCAGACAGGATCAGGCAGGAAGCGCAAGCGAGCAGCTGTGACGAAGCCGCAGCGGTGGGGTACAGACCAAGTGCGGCGAGCCATCGAGCGCGTTACGCTGCACTGGCTCCAGACCAAGCTCAACATTCAGATCTGGAGGCACAATACCAAGGCCACCTTCCGCCAGTACCTTCAAGACAAGGACATCCTGAAGGCGCTCAACTGGGCCGACAACGAGGGAGAAGAAGACGTGGAAGACGACCCGATTGATCTGGGATCCGGGCACGGGTCGAAGTTTGCTGGTCAGATCTACGGCAGGCCCATAGATGAGTCGCCTTTTAGCATCATGGCGCAGCGACAGGCACTCCGGCGGGTCAGCATCGCCTGGCATCGCTTTCTACAGTTCAGCTCGACGTTAAAGACGCCGCCCGCGAAGGGGACCCGGGCCGCTGAAGCTAGAAAGGCGGCGGTGGAGGAACAGTTCCGGCGCTGGAAGCAGATGCGGAGGGTGGACGTTCAGACGGCGCTCGAGCGGCTGCAGGGGAAGGGCAGCACGTTCAGAAGCGTGCAGCAGCCCGCCATAGAGGCCATCATGAAGCAGAAGAGCCCCGTGGTGGTGATCATGGGCACAGGCGGAGGCAAAAGCGCAACATTCATGCTGCCAGCGTCGTGCTCCACCGGCGTCACGATCGTGGTCGTCCCCGTGGTTGCGCTCAAGCAGAACATGATGGATCGCTGCAAAGCCGCTGGGATCGACTGCGTCCTGTGGGATAGCCAGCGGCCGCACGAGTGGGCTTCGATCGTGCTGGTGGTGCCCGAGTCCGTGGCCACGCTAGCATTCGAGCAGTTCATCAACCGGCAGCGATCCATGGGCCGGCTGGACCGCGTCGTCATCGACGAGTGCCACACCATACTGGACTCGGTCAAGGGCTGGCGGACCAAGGTGCTGAAGCTGCGCGAGCTGGTCAAGGCGGAAACGCAGCTCGTGTGCTTGACGGCGACGCTGAAACCCACGGAGGAGAGCGAGTTCATCCGGCTGATGGCGCTGCCGCCAAAGGAGCAGTGCGAGTGGTTTCGTGCACCAACGAGCCGGCCCAACCTTGCGTACAAGGTGCACTGGTACAACCATCGAGAAGAGAGCGAAGCCGACGTGCTGGCGGAGCTGGTGGAGGAGAAGAAGCAACAGTACCCGCTGCCCGGCCAGATCGTGGTGTACACCGACTCCAGAAAGAAGGCGCAGGGGTACGCTGCGATGTTGGGAGCTGTCTGCTACCACCGCGAGGTGGGCACGCCGGAGGAGAAGCTGGAGATCTTGCGCCAGCTCACAGAAGGGACAGAGCACGTGTTTGTGGCGACGAACGCGCTGGGGCTAGGGATCGACAGAGAGACCGTCAGGGCAGTCTTGTTCGCTGGGTCGAGGAACACGCAGAAAATGCGCGACGTGGTGCAGATGGGAGGACGTGCAGGCCGCGGCGGGCTTCCCAGCGAGGTCATTTTCATCAGAGGCGCCACGTACAGCCCGCAAGGCAAGCGATACGCTGGCGGCTGGGCCAAAGACACAGAGGAGGGTGTGCGCGAGCTCATCGAGGGTGACGGCTGCATGAGAGTCATCATAGACCGCGAGATGGACGGAAACCACACCAGAGAGGGCTGCGAGCCAGGAGAAGAGCCGTGCGGCCGGTGCCAGCTGCGGGTGCACAGCGCTGGAGCAGAGGTAGAAGCAGTCGTGGGCGACGAGGACGAGACAGAGAGGGCCGAGTTCAACGCCCAGCTGCAGGCGCGCAGGAACTTGAGCCAGCAGGAGAGGGAGCTGGCGTCGCGCGAGCAGCAGGAGGTGCAGAGGCTGGAGGAGATGCTCGAGTCTTGGAAGGCGTGCTGCCAGTGGTGCCGGGCGAAGGAACATGCGGATGCAGGCCAGCACCAGCTTGCCCACTGCAATCGACTGCAGGCGGATGAGGTGCGCGATGGAGTGAAGGAGGTTGCGAAGATGATCCGGGAGCAAGCGATCTGGGAGAATTTCAGCTGCTGCTTCCAGTGCGGTGTTCCCCAGTCGATTTGCGACAGCTTCGAGCCCCATCCAGATGGTGGCTGGCAGAAAAACTTGGCGATCGGCTGCCAGTTCGAGGCTGTGCTGCTCACGTCGATGATGTGCGTGTGGACGGCGTGGGGAAGCACGTTTGACGACTGGGTGCGGGTACAGATGCAGAGAGAGGGGATTAGGCGGAAAGAGGAGGTGGAATTCGACAAGGTACTTGTGTGGATGGGTAGCACGGTATGGTGGGGCGGCAACCATTTGTAAAACATGCACTACAACACGAACACTTAACGTTAAATTAGAGAACTTTAACTCTAAGTCTATATACTTTCAACACTCTGTTTCCAGATGCTGTAAGTAGATTATCCCAATTGCGTTCCGTTGTCGCGTTGTAGTGCTCAGAAGTTGGGGCAGTTTGAGCTGCACAGAAGGCGCTACGCCGTTTTGAATTTCGACGACAGCACTAAGCCCTATCTAGATTTCGAGGACACCGCTAAGCCTAATCCGCGATTTCGCCTGTCCAGAAGGTGTACGGGCCGATTGACCCCTTAAGCAACAGTATATGTTAATCTGCTGCACCGATCGTGCAGCTTGGAGAGCTAGATCTCTGCACCCCCTCCTTCCTGTCGCTGCTCTTTTCTGCCGTCACCAATACCTCAATCCTGCTTACAGTAGAGAGCACTTCTATTTGCGCGTGCTGCTGCTGAGCTCCTGATAGATACATCATTTTGCAGTCAGTTTGAGATGCCGGCAGCAGCTACCGACAACCCAAAAAAGCGAGGTCGGCCGCCCAAATATGCTTCAGCAGAAGAAAAGAAAGCTGCAAACACACAAAGAAGGCGCGCTCAGAGAAGAGGTAAAGCTGCAGGAACACAGGCGGTGCTGTCTCAGCAGCATCAAGTCAGAGGCCTAGAGCAATCTACGTTCTTTGTGCCACCTTCAGCACCGCTGGCTCCAGGCGGGCCATCTGCACTTGGTGGACTGCCAAATATTGCTCCAACTCGCCTTGAAGGTTTGGTACCGGATGACAGCAACGACATTGGAGAGTACCTTCCACCACTTAGCCGCTTTGGTAGCCCCTCGCTAGGTCCTACACCTACCGAGCCCGATGACGTTCTAGATCTCCTTATAGCTAACGGTGACACGCCTATAAGTGCTGGACAGTCAGTCGAAGCAGGGTTCGATGGCATTGCGACAATCGACGACGAGACTGAAGCTCTATATGCAGATGAGAGTATCATCACAGATAATATGGCTATCGAGAGTGAAGTTGATGAAGTTGAGGAAGTCGGCGAACTTGCAAATCGGTTGACGGACCAGCTGATTCGACATCAGGGATGCTGCCAGCATTGCCACCAGCGATCACAAGAGGAGCAAACCGAACACCATCCAACCTCTTATGGTCTTCAGCAATACCTAGATGAGATCGCAGAGGCTGTGGATTGTCCGGATATACTAGCATCGAAGACAATGTCGACTCATGGCTCCGACCTTGCTAGCCATATGGACGCAGCAACTAGGCGCCAACTTTACTGTGGGTTTGACAAGGATAACATCGTGCCAACCCCTATCTGTTTGGAAGCAGACGACTATGCAAATGCAGCCGCTGAGGTTACCTTCGATATTGATAGCGTCCTGGGCTTTCCCAATAGTCTAGCAGTTGCGAAGCAAGGAGTCCGTTGGAACTCGACGCAGATGACGGTCACAGACCTTCAATCCGGCCTACATCTGAAGACCCAACTCGCGCATTATATTGATGATCACGGCCATGCTCATTCAGTACGGAAGCCTTTGCATCAGCTACCACACTATACCTTCGGACGGCTGGTCGGTCTTGAGGACGTTTCTCTGTACATCTTTTTCCCATACCTTTACCGAGAAGAACAAAAGGTAAGCCGTCTGACGGACGGAGACTTCCGCACCTGGATGGATCAAATCCTGCTCCCGGTCATATACCGACACCACGATAGTTCGCTCGTACAGCACTATCCGTCTAGCTTTGATCACGCACGCTATAATTCCACGGCTCGAGGGGTGGAGGGTCGATCGCAGCGGTCGGATGCTACGCCAAGACAGCAGCTTCTCTTCCATTTCCTACCGCCAGACTCTCTCCAAGAAATTTGGGAGGATGTTCTTCAGGCCACTGAACGTCCCGGGCTGCAGCAGTTTCGTGGAGCGTTTCTGTTCCTTCAAGGTAAAAACCTCAAGTGTCTCACTAAAGACTTGACCTGGGAAACGATGACTGCACGCTTTGACAAGTATTGGGGAGAAGCCGTTGCAGAGAGTTATATGACTCCAGACGCCTACTTCGACGTGGGAAAAGAGGTGTGCCCAGCACTGAGGTCCTGCGTCGCAAGTGAGGCCGAGGAAGAAGACGGAGAGCGCGAGATCCTTGCTAAAACACTGTTGTGGAAGCGATGCTGCCTTGAGACATATGGCGAGTGGATGAAAAGCTGGCATGGTCAAGAAGAAGATGGCCACCACAATGTGTTTTATCCCTTCAGCATGCTACGCGACAGTGGGAGCTTAACGATCGAGACTCATCAGAGTTCGAAAAGTCGCGCAGGCGGGCTTCTCTATAGCCAGTTCTACTCCAGCATCAAGGAAGTTTTCGCTGCTGGTAACGTTTATCCGTTCACCAATGTGGCGATAGAGACATTAGCGCTCGATCCTAAACTACGAAAGACGTGGCAGCATGTTGGGGCAGGTCTCAGCCACAGCCCCGTCGCATTGATCCGGGCATACCTCTACACCAAACTTCGCTGTCACTACGCTACCACCGGATCAATGCAGAAGTCTTTTGGTACCAGAGAAGAACATCGCGTCTCCAGGAAGTTGTTCAGCAAGATCGACGCTCAATTCAAAAACCGAAATATACACACACAACACTTCCAGTTGATGCAAGAGCGCAATCGGTCACACTATACTATCTCAACCGCCACCATGTTACATTGGCTGCGATGGAATATCAACAAGTTCTGCGTTGGGTTCGAAATGGTCCACAGTCTCAACGATCATCATTTCGTCACGTGGGAACACACCAGGATCATGCTTATGTTTCTGCGGTGCCTCCAGTTCTCCTACGCCAGCGGGCTTATACAGCGGGCTGGCGGTCTTTGGCAGGATGTGCGCTTGGAAAGAAATGCCAACCGACCAGATGGGCTTCGACGATACGAAGGCTTAGGGTTTCGCGACAGCATCAAGCGACATGGTTATGCTTGGTTCATGGACAAAGTGGACTGGGAAACAATGACCTTTCGGCAACCGTTCGCTCAGTATATGATGTTCAACAACCCATCTATGCAAGCAGTCTATCATGCACGCTATAGCCAGATCCGGGACGTGCGCATTGATTTCATTCGGACGGACAAGACGCGCCAATGGATGGCGGAGTTTAGCGCTGTGCCGGTCTGCTTGGGCCTCCTGGAAGAACACCTCGAACAACTCTGTCTCTGCGCCTTCCGCAAAGATGTGTTTTCCTCCATCCGACATTTGCTACATAGGGACCAGGTCGAGGCGGCCTTGGCTGGCAAGATCCCCTTGTGTTGGCCGAGTATCAATCGAGTCCTGAAGAACCAACATCAGCCTCCTAAATTAGCTGCGGGTAACCGACTGGCAGTCAAGAGTGTTGAAGTTCTTTTTTCGTGGCTATGGGAGTGGAGAGACGATCAGTTCGAGCGTAAGGGCTGGAACGATAAGCCTTACAGGATGCTGTACCAACAGAGCTTTGGCATCATTGAACGGATACGAGGAAAACAGCAAGCTCGTGCTTGGAAGAAGAGCTTGAAGCGTACGTTCCTTCAAAGTCACTGGATGCTCCCGTATCCTCAGAGCCAGGGCTTCATGCGCAAATGCAGAGAGTCCGGCGAGGTGGTCTGGTGGCCTAGCTTTCACCTTGGTCTCAAAAGATACTACGATCAGTTAAGAAAGCATGGAGAGGTACTAGAGTCGTTTCCTGCATCCTACATAAAACACCATCCCGTCAATGGCTGGGGTCTAGCCCATGGATGGCCAGGATACATGCCATACGAAGTTAGACCCAAACAACACCTTCTGGAGCTATCGGAGACAGATCTCTATCTTCGATTGCTCGAACTGCAGCAGGACTACAATACTACGTCTAGACAAACGTCGAGTGCCACAATGAGGGACTCAGTCCAAGTCTACGTGATCAAAGACATCATTGAAGACCCAGCTTGGAAACGTAAACCTATGAAGAGCTGGGATGTAGGTCATTGCAGCGTTCAGCTTAACAAGGAGCTGGAGAAATATGAGATCCTACAACATTCCCGTCGAATTTTGCGCAAACGCAAGCGGGGTGTTAGTATAGACTCTGGGACAGAAAGCGGTAGCATCGCTGAAGTCGAACTAACTTCTGACGATGACTCCCTTGAGCAGCAGAAAAAGAAACAATACGAGGTTGTGAAACAGGTGGAAAAGCAAATGCGAGCTGGCATAGAAAAGGACCGCGAAAGGTGGGGTAAGCCCGACGTACACGAAGGTATACTTAAGATGCATGAGCCCAGATTGAGAAGGATAGGATAAGCTAGCCTTTTACAGAATACGAAAATGATAGGGTGACGGAGAGCATAGGGTGACGGAGAGTATAGGGATTGCAAAACCCCGGTTTCCACCCCCAATACCGCTCCGACCTCCCATTGTCGCAGCAATCTGCAGTCAGCCCTTCGTTTACCGCCAGCAAGACAGAGAGCAGCATTGCAAGCGAGCATTTTGAGCATGTGGTCGAGTACGCGTTGGCCGTGTGCAAAGCGTGCAGGCACGGCGTTTTGCCCAGCCAGATCAAGAGCCATGTGCAGCGCACGCACCCCGCCCAGCGCAAGCAAGCCAAAGCCATAGCAGAGGAAGTAGGCAACTGGGCCGGTTTGATCCAGTACGCCAGCGAGCTAGAGGTACCCAGCCAGGTCATCGAGCCCATCCATCCGTTGCCCGTGTACACAGACGGGATGTTGTGTCGATTGGACCCGGACCGTTGCCGCCAGATATTCCGAAGCGAACGCGTAATGAAGAACCATTGGCGGGATGCCCACGAGTGGTCGCCAGCAGAGAAAGGCGGACGCCCAACCCAGGTGCAGCAGAAGAAGATACGGGAGCGCGTCGACAGGTATTCCGAGAGAGTGCATTGCCAGCGGTTGTTGGTGCAGGGCCAGGGGTCGCAGTATTTCCAGGTCCAGCAGCCCACCGACGACGGACCAGAGGCGGTGCCCATCGGCGGCGACGCAGCGTGGGCGCAGGTGGGCGAGCAGATGGCCAAGGCGTGGGCCAGCATCGAGACGCGGCGGCAAAACACCATCCAGGAGGGCGAGCGAGACGAGGTGAACCCGTGGCTGGAGCGGACGCAGTGGTTGCCGTATCTGGTGGGCATGGAGCGGCCCGAGTTGTTGGCGTGCATCGACGAACCCGCGGCAGAGCCCGATCCCAGGCAGGAGCAGCAGGCCGAGCCCGTGGAGGCAGCCATGTGGGCGGCGATGGAGGGATTGGCGCGGTTCAGTCAAGCGTCCGTCATCCACCGCATCGGCGTGTTTGTGCGGCTGGAGGCCATCCGGACGGAGAAGCACCAGACGCGGTACCAGCCGTTGCAGCCGTACATGGACGAGCAGTCGATCGTCAAGCACGTGCGGCCGTGGCAGCAGATGGTCATGTTTTTCGCACGCACCCAGCGCGAGCACACGTGGAAGAGCCCCGCGTACCGGTTCACACGCCGGCAGCGAGACGCGTGGGAGGCGTTGGTGGAAGAGGCAGAGAGGATTGCAGAAGGGGGGGCAGACGACGAAGAGGAAGGGGAAGGGGAAGAGATGGACGTAGACGACGGCGAGGAGGGCATGGCAGACGACGTCGACGAGGGCATCGACGAGATGGAGACAGATAGAAACACAACCGCCGACGCCATCGTCGAGCCGACCAAGTTGTCGAGCATCCAGCGGGCGTGTTTGGAGTTTTGCATCGCGTTGATGAGCCAGAAGATCACCCGCAGGGAGTACGACAGCGCGTTGGTGTGCGCGTTGGCCGTGTTGGGCGTCAACGAGGACGGTTGGAAGGGCGCCGAGCAGTATCCGCCCGTTTTGTCGGCCGTCATCAAGGTGGCGCGGTTCATGGTCGTGCAGCAGGCGTTGGAGTTGTCAGGCGCGGCCAACGACGAGGAGGGAGACGAGCTGGACGATTTTGACAGCGACAGCGCGTACGAAAGCGACAGCAGCCCGCCCCGACGCCGGCGCAAAGGATGTTTGCAGTTCGTGCAGGAGATGATGGACCAGTTCATGGTGCGCGGCAGCCACAGCCCGATGCAGTGGATGCTGGATCTGCGGACGTACGGTTTGAAGATCCATTACAACACCACGTCGCGCGGGCACGTCGAGTGGGTTGGCCGGGACGAGTTGTTGTACAAGAGCTTGCAGTTCAGCATGGCGCAGTTCCGCGGCATGGTGCACGGATTGGCGACAGAGAGCCGGCGGTTGTTGATGGACGAGTTGTTGTTTGGCAACAGTAGGGCCGCCGAGCCCATCCCCAGCGTGCCGTGGGACCGTTTGCGCGACAACCCGACCGACGAGCGGCCCGGGTGGGATTTTTTGAAGGACCAGCGCACCCGCATGCCCGTCGATGGAGAGGGGTGGTTGTTCCAGCGGGTAGGGCAGGACGCCGCCATCCGGGACCGGTTCATGAAGCAGGGGGCCCGTTCGGGCATCAACACGCAGGAGGTGGAGCGGTACATGGATCGAGTGGTGGCGTTCCGGGAGAAGTTGATCGTGTTGATGCACATGGCGGGCGGACAGCCAGCGAGAGGCCCAGAGATCATGAGCATCCGGCACAGCAACACAGTCAAGGGCGGGCACCGCAACATATTCATTGAGGACAGCATAGTCGTGTTCGTGACGCGGTACCACAAGGGATACAGCGTGAGCGGCGACGTCAAGATCATCCACCGGTATTTGCCGCGCGAGGTGGGCGAGCTGTTGGTGTATTACATGTGGTTGGTGTTACCGCTCCAGCAGCGGTTGGAGGCGATGGTGTGGGAGAAGGAGGTGATATCGTCGCACATGTGGCCGGCAGACCCGAGCGGCCGCAAGTGGACGAGCGACCGGTTCCGCGAGACGTTGAAGCGCGAGAGCAGGATCGGATTAGGGTTGGAGCTGACGATTCCAGCGTATCGCGAGATCGCCATTGGCATCAGCCGGCGGTTTTTGCGCGGGTCCACCGCGTTTCGAGCAGACGAGGGAGACGAGAACGAGGAGTGGAACGAGGAGAACACGTGGTCAGCCATTGCGGACATGCAGGCAGGGCACACGGTGCACATCGCGGGGATGATATACGCACGAGGCATCATGGAACAGGCAGGGGCAGTAGCAGACAAGAGGCAGCAGTTCCGTATGTCGAGCACGGATTGGCACCGGTTTTTGGGGTTCCAAGCAGGCGTTGACGACGACGACGACGGGTGCAAGAAGCGCAAGCGGGCCCCGTTCGAGAGCGAGGCAGACGAGGCGAGGATCGATCGGTGGGGCCGGTTGAGGAAGATGGACACAGCCGCGCAGATGCAGCGGATGATGGGCAAGGCGGCCGAGTTTCGCGGCGTGCAGAAAGAGGCCATCGACGCCATCGTTGCCGGCAAGAGTCACGTCGTGGCAGTGATGCCGACCGGGGCAGGCAAAAGCATGTTGTTCATGTTACCAGCATGGGCCGAGCAGGGTGGTACGACGGTGGTCGTGGTGCCGTTGATCGCGTTGCGAGGAGACATGATGCGGCGATGCAGGAAGTTGGGCATATCGTGCGCCGAGTGGGACAGCCGCCGCCCGCCAGACGCAGCCGCAGTCGTGTTGGTGACGCCCGAGTCAGCGGTTGGGGAAGAGTTCGCGACGTTTTTGAACCGGTTGCGGGCAACGCGACAGCTGGACCGGATCGTGATCGACGAGTGTCACATTGTGTTAAACCGCCGGTACGATTTCCGCAAAGAGATGCAGAAGTTAGGCAAGTTGGCATCCACCAAGACACAGATGGTGATGTTGACAGCAACATTGCCGCCAAGCAAGGAAGACGAGTTGTTCCGGCGGATGTACGTCGAGCAAGATCAGGTCAATTTGTTCCGAGCCGAAACCGCAAGGACGAACGTGGCGTACCGCGTGATCAGGGTGGGCAAGGCGGCGAAGAAGAAGGAAGTGGAAGAGATAGTGTTGGGCATGGTGCAGCAGAAGTTGCGCAGGCACAAGACGGGCAAGGTCGTGGTGTACGGCAATTCGGTGCCGAAGGTCAAGGAGTTGGCAAAGAACTTAGGTTGTCACGCATACCATCACAAGGCCATAGGCAAAGCAAGCATGTTAGAAGAATTTGCCGCGGGCAAAAAGCGTACAATCGTAGCAACAAGCGCGTTGGGGATAGGCGTCAACATACCCGACATCCGGTGCATCATACACATCGATTAGCCGTTCACCATGTCGGATTACGCACAGGAAAGCGGGCGTGCAGGACGCAACGGGTTGCGCAGCAAGGCGATCATGATCGTGCAGGAAGGCGAGCAGCGGGCAGCCAAGGACAAGCAGGCGGAGGTGGAACAGCAGTTGGTGCGAGCGTACGTGGAAGGCATAGACGAGACAGCAACGTGCAGGCGGGTGGTGTTAGACGGGTATTTGGACAGGCAAGAGAAAGAGCGGGTAGTGTGCGAAGAGGGAGAGGAGAAGTGCGACGTGTGCAGAGGAGCAGACGGCGAGGAAGAAGACGCGGAAGAGATGGTGGACGAAGAGAGCGAGGGGGACGAGGGAGGCAGCAGCAACGCAGAGGGTACGGACACGGTTGAGGCAGAGCGAGAGGAGGCACAGCGGTTGTTTAAGCAGCAGCAGCAAGCACAACGCGGCCCGCGACAGACGTTGATACAGCAGCGGCAGCAAGAGTTTGCCGACGTGGAGTGGTTGCGCAGGCAGTTGGCGTGGTGGACGAAGCGGTGTGGCATATGCGAGGTAGCGGGCGATGGACAGAGCAAGCACGACGTGCGGCGGTGTTAGAGGCCGGAGAGCCGGCAGGCAAAGGAGATGATCAAGGCGGTGGAGGAGAAGATGCGGTTCGAGGAGTATTCGGGTTGTTTTTGGTGTGGGGTACCGCAGGAGGTATGCAATCGATGGGAAGACAACGGACGCGGACGGTATCAGAGGGCAGACGGAAGGGATTGTCAATACCGAGGGGTGTTAGTAGGAGGGTTGTTAGGGTTGGTGTACGGGGGCGAGGAGGGAATAGTAGAGCGATGGGCTGCGCGGCTATCAGCAAGAGGGTGAACAGTAATGGTCTTGCGGATTTCCCACGGGCCCGAGCGTTTTGAACGACCAGGGTACTTACGGTATGTGCTTAGGACTAGCGCGCCTTTGAAGCCGCATTAGATATGGCCATCACGACTGCAAAATTCTGCTTCAAAAACAGCCAACGTCAGTCCAACGTCAGTCCAACGTCAGTCAGTTCAGTCAGTCTGAAGGCCTTTGAACTGACTGGACTGACGTCCAGCGGCCTCAAGTACTGACTGACTGAGTTACCTGACTGATAGCAAGTCTGCTGCGGACAGTGCAATCAGACTGGGCATAACGCGCGTACATGTAAGCATGCAGTAGTAGCAGACTCTGAATGATATCTCGCGTTGCATTATGCTATACAAGGCTAAGGTAGGCTATTTTGCGACAGAATCGGGTGGTTTTGGTGGGGGCATGGCAAAAGTGGGTGGCCAACCCGGGTGGGCGGCCAAGCCGTGAGGTACGTTACTATGGCAAACGATATTACAAAGGCAGTAAGAGAAATTATCTAGTAATAGGCGACATGCCTGAATGCTGTCCCCGATTACTTCCATACCCAGCCTCACTGGGTATGCGACTTATGCCCGTGCTGCTCTGGCCGTCCATTTCGTAATACTGTCCTACTGGCATCGATGCCACATTTACCACCTGCCCAGTGGGCGAAACCGGCGCGCAAGACTCAGCATGCAATTCCTCCGGCCCACGAGAATCAGCATGCAATTCCAGCGGCTCGTTATTGTTCAGGATAGCAACCATCTTGTGCTCCTGCAGATATCCACGGCTATCATGATAGGGAGTAGCAGGAGACGCGAGTTCAGTTGGTTGCACGCCACTAATTTCCTGCACAACAGAAGATTTTTGGAGCGTGGCGTGCGCTTTGTGATTGACAACGTGGTTGATGGAGCCAGAGTCTGAGACGGGGTTGTTGTTGGCGAGTTCGTAGGATTGGCGGCGGGCGCGGCGTTTGCGAAGCCAGAAGAATATGAAAATGGCGACGAGGAAGAGAATGGCGGCTGCGCTGACAGCGATGCCGATGATGACGCCGTTACTGAGATGAGATGAGGTGGACTCGGTTGGGGAGTCAGGTGGTGTGATTGTGACTACTTTCTCAGCGGGCAGGGGATCTGGGAACACTGCTTGTGCTAACGTGAAGTTTGCCCGTTCGTAGTCGACAATCAAGTATGCTTCTTGAAGCAGCGTTCGACCAAGAATAAATTGAGTTTCGTTGGCAGCGCGCCGTATAGGAAAGTAGTTCGTGGCGTTCTTGAAATATGGATATGAGGCTTTGAGATCAAAAGCGGCGTATGGCAATTTGATGTTTGTATAGTTCGTTGATGAGCCAACCAGTGAATTTATCAGCTTCAGTGTGATGATTGGGTTATTGGACAATAATTGGGCGTGAATTGTGTCGTTAACGAGATATAAATCGGTTTGTGCATCGTATGTGAGTCCAAACGCGGCCTCGAATTGCTCGCAGACATCTCTCGGTAGCCATAAATGTGGGACAGTTGAGTCGACAACGGAGAAATGTGCGCCAGAAGTGAGTGAAAATGTACCGCGAAGTGTGTTTGTCGCCAGGATGGAATCGACACCAACAGTCAATAATTTGGACGGGTCGTTAGAGAACGTGAAGGAGGATCCAGTGGTACTTGGCGTGAAACGCGTCGAGTCATAGCCGCCCAGTATCAGATTCCCGAAAACGGATTTCGATCGATACTTTGCGCCGGCCGTATAGCCATACGAAAGACTGGGGATCTTGTAGGCAGTGCGCAATTGAACCAGTAATGAGTCAGTCGATTGGCTTAGACTTGAGAAACTGGAATCTGCCATGCCCAGCGGCAACACACCCATGTAGTAATCCAGTGAACCAATCCCAGCTACAATCTGACGATCCATTTGCAGCGAGGTGCTTACCGCGGCTGGTCCCAAATGTACTCTGTCTAGACCAAAGAGACCTGTTCCTGTGTAGTTGAGCGCATTCTCTAGGTTCAGCTCGTATTGACCCATATTTGACCATGACGTTGAGACATTGGTCTGAAAGCCGACGTTTTGCGCGCTGTTGAAGACATTCGCTCCTCGCGACTTGTCACAATCGTCAGGATCGACTCCTGCTATGCATCCTTCTGGCGCGATCAAGTACGTAACACTGCCTTTGGTGCTGGGCAACACGCGAAAGTCCTGACCGGGTGTTCCGACGCTGATCACAAAGGTGCTCCAGTATCCGTCATTACCATCAAACTGCTTCGATGATGGCACGGTGTATGGCTCCGGCATGCCCGTGGCTCGAGCGGCGATTTTCATCAGTAGCGAATGTGTGGAAAGTATGGAAAGTATGTGGACGAGGATGGAGCGATTGACGGATCACGGTGAGAGGACGCGGAATCGTACAGCGGAAAAGGCATGTAATCGTAATCAAGAAAACGCAGCATAACATGCTAAGTTGTCACGCCATAAGGCTAGCTCACACTTGTATCGAAGCTTGCAAACCCCTAGAGATAATTGGGACGAAATGACGACGAGGACGCAGAGATCCGAGGTATCAAAGTCTTGGTTTCAAGAGCTGAAGTTCTGGCGGAGATGGACAGAAGCAAATCCGGGCTAAGCGATTCCGTAACTGGTCGTCTTAGGGTAGTTGAGGTGAATGCAACCCTGCGCCTGTGTGCATGGCTTGGCGCCCAGCCGCCCCGCGCCTAGGGGACCTGTCGATCGCATCAGCCAGTCTCGCTTGCTTGGTACGCTTTGGGCGTTTCCACTACAACCTTCAGCCCTGAATGCGGAGAATCTGCTGCGGCATGACCTCGGAGCCATCTCGCACAAAGCACAGCCGCTGGTCTAGGCTTGCGGTCTAAGCCGCAGATGTCTAGCTTAGAGTCGCGACTTCTTCACTATGCTGCACCCGGTTCATCGGTCTCCTGGGGTACTGGGTCGCTAGAACGGTAATCCTTTGTCCACTCAGTCACATGGGATGTGTCAAAGGGGAAACAGGTTCATCCCAATTTTGAAGCAAGAATCTATGTGCCTCTGCCTATGGTAGCTGGCAATCACCGAACAGTGACATTTAGTGTCGATAACTCTGTGGGTGCCGTGTCCTGACACGTTAGAGCGCAATGGGCTCGCCTAAAGTCTGGGTAATTGATGCATTTGTGCAAGCTCTTTCTCAGCTTCCTCAGCTCATCAGCACGGCCATCAGTCTAGAGATCCGTCTCGCCTCTCAGCGGCGTCTATTGGCTGGCACCTTGCTTTCAAGTTAGCAAACCTGGGAGGCAGTATGATGGGCCGCATGTATGACTATCTATGGCGGGCTTGTTCAACATGGCGTCGACTCCCAAGCAGCCTTCATTGAACCTCGAGCTCTTTATAAGGTTACACTTCCTTCTGTCCTGATATCGCTACATTACCTCTTGACATTCTGCATGATCTCACACTGTTGTTAGTTTGTCTTAAAGTAACAGTTTTAATGATGCGGCCTTTCTTCGTTTTGGGGCTGGCGACATTTGCCATAGGCGCTGCCGCTGCCACAGTTTCCACTGAAGGTAGTCGCTTGTCCACCGCAGTGGCGCATCAATCACTAACATGAGAACAGACTTTGGCAACATCACCTCCACAACAAGACCATTAAACCAAACCGAAGTGAGCTCTTTGAACACACCAACTACTTCTTCGCCGATTGTAACAACCGTATCGGCTTCTAAAGTACAATCGTCTACATTGCCTTCGCCAAGCTCGTTCACCTCGTCTGGCTCACCACAGGATGTTGCACGTCCAGGTCCTTCGCCAGGTATGTCGCACTGTGAAAACATCGTTGTTATGGATTCATTGTTACCTCGACACCTCTAAGACCTCGCATTCTGATAAGAGTTCGATCGGAATATGAGATAACAATGAATTTGTATGCGATGTCGATTGACATGTTGGATCCATTCACAGCTCTGACGTGCTAAATTTTACAATCTAGATACCCCACAGCTCTCAAGTTCGTCGCAGCGAGTCTCTGGTCTCTCATCTCCAGCTTCGGGTGCCATCGGGCCGGTTTCGAGTTCTACCATAAATTCGACTGCATCAGCAACACCGACGGAGCCGACTGGTTCATGTAAAGGCTGTGTCCTTCAGGCTTACCCTCCAATTACTGCATTCTTCAATGAAACAGATCCCCAATATCAAGTGTCGACTTCGACTACGACTATGAATGCTACTGTACGGATAATCGAATACTCTGATGTCAACGCCACAGAGTTGGAGATTGGTGGTCAGACAAGGACGGTGATCGAGGGAACGACATTTGGAACTATTACCAGCTCGACACCTCAATTCGTAATTACACCTACAGATGGGGTACTCTTGACCGTCAATGCAGGACCCACATACGTCATCTATCCTGGTTTCGAAGGTGGATTGAACGCCAAAGTCGAACCAACATTAATCGAATCGAATTCCACCCTACAAACATGCTCTCCAAACGTCAAGGCTCTCAATAGCTGGCAACCAACTGCAACAGAGGACTGGAATTACTTCATTGAAACATACATGACAAAACCACCAGAACCGCCCACGGAGACGGTCGTTTCAGTACCGTCCAGATTGGTTAGCTTCCTGAACCAAGATGCGGACTTTAGAGAGCAGTTTAACGGCTCTGATATTGTAACATGTACCGTGGGCCCAGGCACTGGGGTTTCTACAGCGTCTACATCAATGTTGAATCTAGCATCGTCAGATGCAGCAACGTCAGCTCCAGGATCCCAAACGTTTATAAGCACATCGTACCAAACGACATCACAGTACACAACAAAACAGACTTGCTTGAGATGCGTGGCTACGTCGCCAGTCAATCCTATAGTAACGGCACCAAGTTTGGATGTTCCCACGCCTAGGGTACCAAACAGGCAAGGAAACCCAGTGACGCCGGTCAATCCGCAACCACCGAACATACCTGGAGCACCAAACAGGCCAGAAGACCCATCGAAACCTGTTGATCAGCAGCAACAAAACCAGCCCGAGCCGAGCATTATTATTGGAGGTGCAGTCCTTCCTATTACCACTGCGCAACCGGCACAAAATACCGACAGGCCGAGTGGGCAGAACCAGAATATACCTCTTGTCGTCATTGGGTCTGAGACGGTCACACCTGGAGAGACAAAGACCATCAATGGCGTTACAGTCTTTGTGCCGACAGAGGGATCCGCATCAGGAATAGTCGTAGGTGGTAGCACCGTCGTGTTGAACACCAATACCAATCCGACGGGTCCAGCGATCCCTACTATTGGCAGCTCCACCATCACAGCAAACTCACAAGGAGAATTTGTCGTGGACACAGCGACTTTGAAACCAGAAGGTTTGGTGATTGATGGGCAGACGAGCAGTATATTAAGGGTGCCGGCGAGTAATCCTATAAACACAACGAGGTCGAGTGTGAGTATCTTGCCTGCGTCGACATCTTCTTCTCCGTCTTCTTCGTCAACGACGAGTACGCGTGGAGCTGGAGACTTTGTCGCGAGCGGAATTGGAGAGACGGGGCGAGCTAGAGGTGGAGCCGGTGTTAGAGGCGTAGACAGGTGGATCGAGGGTCTGATGGTAGGTGTTGCAGGGTGGTTTATAGTTCTGTTGTAGTAAGAAACACAGATAACGTACTACATGGGTGAGTTGCCTGCCCGGGCGAGTCGGTTCCAATGCTAAGACCCTACTAAGATCAGTACTATATACGGCCTGGGGTACAAGCTACAAAGCCCTGATCATTGCAGTCGGTGGCGGTCTTACGATGTGCAGATTCGTAGGTTTGACTACAATTCAACCTGTTGACACATACTTGCAGGTGAGTACAGTCAATCAACTGATTCATCTCTGATTCAGACAGGCAAACGTCATCTTCCTCAGCGGCCCTTGCTTAGCGATTGTATGTGTGCAACGCATCAAGCATTGTTTGTCCCGTGAAGGTACGGGCAAGAAGCAAAACAGAAGTTTTGCTCAACCAGACGATTGTTCTTCGACCTTGATCTCACTGAAGAGCAAAACACGAAGACCGTCGAGAGAATGGGTGTCTCTCAGGTCTGATCCGATACAAGATCCACACTCATCTGATGCTTTTCCTCCGCCTTCAGCGCTACTCCCGCCCGCCCCGACCCGTTATCTGCCTTCTCGACCGAACAAGAAACTGGGTACGGTGCACAACGCTTTTGAGGATACATCGCTTGTGTATGCGCCTGGCAATCCCCCCGACAACCAGATTCTTGTCACCACTGAGGTCGAAACGTTTGACAGTGCTAGACAGGATAATGAGCAGCTGAAATCGACTTGGATTTTTACCGACGGATGTGGGCGCTAGACATGCAGTGTCTGCTCAAGATATCGAAAAGCGAGAGACCTCTTTCTATCACCTCTTCTTACCGTCTGTCGCAACGCTCTGTCGAGTGTTAACGCGCATGGTATAGTCTTGGTAGCTCTAAAGAGGAGCGAGCTGCTCTTCCTAGTGGTTATGGTCACACTTTGTGGCCCTTAATGCAACCTGAATTCGTTCCACGTCCCTGAAGCTTAGAAGCAGAGAAACATTGTGAAGTTGCAAAATCCATTGTATTTCCAACTCTTGCTATGATCAGAGATAGCCGTGGTTAGACGAACAGCGCTGTCTCCAAAATGTTGACATACAGTTCCCACTCTTCGTGACCAATCTGAGATCGTTTACACGAGCTTATGCAGAAGGGACATCTTAAGTTATGCAATGCGCAAGAAGTCTCGCTCGATCACGACTGATTTCAGCATAGCTGCAGGTCCTCAAGATTTCCATATGTGAGCTTTACCTAACGCGGAGGCTCAACGCTTCATCATTCTCAGAGTCAGTTTCAAAGTAAATGCAAGAGTTTTGCAGCGCTCAGAATCCCGTTATATCGCGGCCTCACCACTCGACCACCATTCGAGTCTCAAATCTTATAACATCTCTTGTACTGGTATGAAAGCCACTGCGACAAACGATTATCACCGACAGCTATGCTCGATGGCGGTATAAATCCTACTCCACGCACGGCCTAAGCCTTTGTCGTCCTACCTACCTACATGGCAGGGAACCGACAGGTTGGAGTACCAGCACGGACCCTTTTTGCCTTGTTTTGTACTAGTCGCGGATGGACTCCGCGACTATCCCCTGCACTTACCCCTTTGAGCCATCTTGACTCGGTAACCTCCACTGCCGTGTTGAACCTCCCATCTCTTGCAACTGCTGCAACCACAGGGCGTAGCACTGATTCTAGTCCATGTCTCGTACGTGGAAAATCCATACAGGGAATCCTGTCGATTCTAGCTGCTTCACATTGCAGTCTGGCCTTCCAAACCCCCTTTCTCTTCTCGCTGAGGCAGGTAGGCGGGCAACTATGCCATTATCCTCAGGTTGATTGACTGCTTGCTTCTAGGTAGAAGCGAGGGAAACGCCAGACATCATTTCCTACCTGCTATTATATGGCTATCTGTTTTGCACACTCTGCAGAAGCGCTATTCTCCGAAAGGTGCTCTCTAATCGTCTCTAACGACATTACAACATCAGTAGTAGGCTATCTACAGCTATACTTTGTGATGATAGATGTGGGTTGAACTGTTATATTGGTGCCTGTGAAGGTCGCGGCTATCTATGTGCGCACGCGGGTGCTGACTAACTATGAACTGGCCAATCAGAGATCGCCAGAGTCGGCGAACACTTTGCTGATACGAACATCTTCCTATAGCGCAGGAAGACTCGAACATCGTCCCACTTCCAAACGACAGCCGGGTGCTGCCGTTCCTGGCGGCTCCTGTAAGGGGTTTCAGCTGCCCACATTATCTGACTTACGGTCAATTGGGGCGAATTTCGGAAGCACCTCAATAGAACTCACAGTCTAAGGAATACAATAGTTCATAGGAAGGATGTTTCATGCTTCCTTTAACGATGGATCGCGCACAAGAAGACAGGGCAATACTAGCGCATAGACCACACTTAGACGAACAGCGTCGAGTCTGTAGAAGCGGAACACGAGGAAGAGCAAAGGAATGATGAACAGTCGATGCGGCTGGAAGAAGAAGAAGAAGAAGAAGAAGAAGAAGGTTGCTACAACCCAGATCTAGCAGAGCTTCTCCGTATGGAGGAAGAAGAGGAGCATCGACTTGCTAATGAAGCCCATGCAAACGTGTGTTTCCCAGACAAGCTATTGCATGACGAGAATACGCGCTGGCTTCGTGAGTGCGGGTGGCCGCGTTGGTTCGTACGCAGACCATTGAATGTGATTGCTGCTACATCTCAGCTTCCTTCGCAGAAGTACCAAGTCCTCTACCTAGGATCGTGGAACAACTCCGAGTGGACTAGCTGTTCAGCTACAGAGGCAAAGCTCTTGAAGTTCGTTGAGCTTACTAGTCGCGCGTTGGACAGATGTGAAGAGACCCTGTCGTCTACCTCGCGGGTTCTCCGCTGTTGGCTACGTAGCTGGGGTCCGCATTATTGCCCTATTCCGTTCGAGCTGCCAAAGCGACAGGCTACTCGGAAAAAATACCGCTCGTACTGCTATCGCTTCCTTTGCTATGTCTTCCGAGCAAGGCAGGTTTGCCTCGAACAGGGTCAAAACGCGCACGACATCTACGGTCTGACACTTACTGCATCCCAGGCAGGAATGATAGATACTATCTGGGCAGAGCTAGACAATTTCTCGTTGAACGAGGCGAAGAGAGTCCCATCGAATACTGTGTCGCCGCTGCCTCCTCTACCTTCTTGCATTCTCGAAACCATCTTCCGACTGCTCGTTCTCTTCTGGACAGACACTTCAATAGACGGCGATCCAGGCGATAAGGCAGTTGTTCACTTCTCTGGCGTGCTTGGAATCCACCCGTATAAGCTCACTCTCCGTACCGCGTACGACTACACGCCGTATCTCTCGGCCTTGATCTGGATAGGGAGGCTCGTCACACTGGAGTATGCGCTCCCATCGCGAGCCTACAAGTCGTGGAACCCTCCGCTCCAGGCACGCTCGACATATCCAGATCAGGGGTCAAGACTCCTGAGAGAGATCCGGCCCAGTTATCTTCAACGCGGTACCTTCGCGCCTCTTGGGTACTTCATTGATCGCCTCCAACATGGCAGAGCTATAGCAAAGCGGGAAGGTGGGAGAACCAACATCTCCTGGTCGCCTGACGGCCAGATGCTCGAGATCAACGGTTCTCAAATCACCCTAGTGCAATTGCGCTCTACGGTGCACTCTCTTCTGGATAGGATCAATCGGGAAGCCCGCGAGCTGATGTTTGACTGGTGGCCTGATGTCGATTTGCATGGGATCAAAGATCAACCCACAAGCTATCGATCAGGCTATTCATTTTTAGCGGAGCCTGACAACAATCTACAAATGAGCTTCAAGCATCTTCACCGTCGAGCGTTCTCTCCTTGAGAAGGGAGGCTAGCACTGCAGGGCGATGGACGCAAGCAAGCGCTGGCGTATCTGCAGAGACGTGACGACTTTAGTCGACTCCTTTTTGCGGGGATCCACATGACCAGCGGCATGCCCGCCAGGGGCGAGGAGCTCTGCATCATACGCTGGGCGAACACTGTTGCTGTATGACGCAACATCGTAATACACAAAGGACGCATTATGCTACTTTTTGCTTACAACAAAGTGTCCACGACAGCGAATCACTCGTTCTACATTGTTCGGGTGCCTTGTCCCACAGTTGAGCGAGCTCTGTTCCTGTATCTTGCCTATATAAGGCCCTTCACCGACTTTCTCCTTCGGCAATTGAAGCTCGTTGATGCGGAAACGAAGACGAATCTGCATCTTTTTAACTTGAGCTGTCATCCGACAGGTTGCTTTAGTGCGACTGACTGCTCGAAGAGCTTAGAACAGGCTACGCCAGATTGCCCTGTTCGAATTCAGCTGAGCATCTACCGTCACATCGCTGTTTCCATTAGCAAAAAACACATTCCGAAATTGCTGGAGCCATTCGACCCAAACATACCAAAGGAAAGAAACGGTTTCCTTCACCTATTGGCCTTTCAGACGGGCCACACCCCTTCGGTCCATGCAAGCGCTTACGCTCTCGAATGAGGTTATCCAGCTAGACTGTAGCCAGAGCTCATCGACCGCTACTTCGACAACTGCTTCATCTGGCATCGATTCCTAGGGATCACTGAGGAGATACCTATAGACAGAGAACTCGATACGGGCACGTCAGATGAACAGATGCAAGAGACAGTGACGCTGACAACGAAGCCGGCGGATCAAGCAGCAGATTTCGGTGTGTCGGATAAGGAACCCGTCGTGTTAGGTAGCGGAGACCAAGAAACAATAGAGGCAAGAGGGTTTGAAGAGGGACCACTGCGACAAAGCAAGCGCAGGCTGAGCAGCGACCCATGTGACGTGCATCAGGACCAGAATGTATTGTATCCAGCTAGACTAACAAGAGGGGGGGTCAGCAGCTGTTTTGAGGCAAGTGCTAGAAGATATACAAAGAGGAAGAAAAGATAAGGATAGCGAGACAGAAGAAAAGGGACACCCGATAAGCGAGCAAAAGCATTCCACAGCCTCATTGACTAGAGAGTATTAATTGGGATACGATGCGGTAGCATACAAAGAAACACCACAACATTAGCGCACCTGACTGCCTTCAAGATCGATCGCGATACAAGTGTTTCCTACAGAGCTGGACGAAGTACTCGCCTAAATACTGGGTAGTGACTCAAGACGACCGCTCCCACCAGCATCAGAGCGACGAAGGATTGGTTGGGACAAGCCATGGCGATTGCTCGACACGTGTAGAGGACGAAGAGAAAGAAGAAGAAGAACGGTTAGATGATGAGCTTAACAGCATTGCTCTTGACGGAGAGCTAGAACACGACGAGAACACTGAGTGGTTGCGAGGCTGTGAGTGGCCAGCGTGGTTTACTTACAAGCCTATCCATATCATTGTTGCAGCTGCAGCGCTGCCTCCCATGGCAACATCAGATGATCTCAAACTAGGTCTTTGGAACGAATTCGAATGTAGAAGCCCAGCACAGACAGAGAGGACGATTTGGAAGATTATAGAAGCTAGCAGAATCGTTTTCCAACAATGTGAAGCAACGCTGAAGCAGACGCCGCGGGTCTTGCGTTGCTGGCTGCGGAGCTGGACGCCTTCTTTTCTTCCATACCCTTTCGAGGTGCCACAACGCGAACATACTCGGCGAAGATACTACAGAATCCACAAGAGATTCTTATGCTACATTTTTCGTGTCTTAGCATTGTCGCGCAACATAAAGGAACCTACAAACGACATCTCTGGGCTGCAGCTAACTACGGCTCAGCTGGCCATGATGAACCATATCTGGGACCACGTCACTGCTGTCAGCCAGCAGGCAGACCTTGGGATTCTGCTCCCGTCATCACTGGCTGCTCTGAACGAAAATCTCTTTCAACTTCTTGTCATGTTCTGGACAGACTTGTCGCACGACGGAAACATGAGCCGTAGCGCTATTATGAACTTCTCTGGTGTCTTGGGGATACATCCCACAGAGCTATGTTTCCGCAAGCCCTACGACTATACTCCGTTTATATCAGCACTGCTGTGGGTAGGTCGCCTGATTATACTTGAGTATGCCCTACCGCTTGCACCATACAAGTATCTCAAAAATCCTTGGCCTGAGCGTACAGCCTACCCCGACCAAGCACAGCGATTGCGTGAGCATATTCGACCCAAGTATCTTCAGCGAGGTAGTCTTGCACCAGCTGGTTACCTTATCGAGCGACTACAGCACGGAAGAGCAATCGCAAGGCGCGAGGGTCCTAGAACAAACATCTCCTGGTCTTCAGATGGCTTGACACTCCATATTGCGGAAACACGGATTCATATGCGACAGTTTCGTGAAACAATTCACACTGTTGTAGTAGGGTTACAAAGCCGTGCACAAGAGCTCCTCTTCGGATGGTGGCCAGACGTTCAACTTAACATTCTACAAGATAATCTTGCGACCCATCGCCCTGGATTCTCGTTTCTGGCGCACCCAGCCAACAAACTCCAGGGAGCTTTCCGCGCTGTGAGCAAACTAGCCTTCTCGGAGCAAGGCGGCTTCTCGTCAGAGACAAGTACAGGGAGAGCAAAGCAGAGGCAGTACTTTGAACGAAAGCGACAGCTTTGTTCGTCTGCTTTATGCAGCAATGCATCTAACAAGCGGCATGCCAGCACGAGGTGAGGAGCTTAGAGTTCTACGGTGGGCTGACACGATCTTTGTGCGACGAAACATCTTTATCTACAAAGGAAAGGTGATACTTGTTTTCGCATACAACAAGGCAAACACCAACACCAACAACTCGTTTTATATTGTACGCTCCCCCTGTCCTCTGGTACAAAGAGTTCTTTACCTTTACCTTGTGTACATCCGCCCATTCCGCAGTCTTATTAGTCGAAAGTCAGGGGCGCAACCTACGGTTTCAACGAACCCTCACTTATTCAGTACTCATGAGAGTGCAACAGCATGCTTTTCTTCGAGTAAAGCGCATGCGAGTTTGAAAAGGTCAACAGCCAAATGCCCTGCTCCAACAACCACCAGTCTGTATAGACAAACTGCAACTAGCATTGCAAAGAAGCATCTCCCTGCACTTGTTACTCTATTCGACCCTAACACGCCTAAGGATTACAACGGGTTCCTTTAACTCCTGGCTTTCTAAATAGGTCATAGACCAGTCACACATGCTAGTGCATACGCGCTAGAGCATGGATTTCCTACTAAATTGCAGCCTGATCTGATTGACCACTACCTGGTAAACAGCCATATGTGGCATGAATTCACGTTGACCCGAGAGGAAGACGCTCTAGACTATAGCTTAGCAACCGTGCACAAAACCTCAAGCAGTACAACACAAGTTGGTTACTACCCGGACGCTATTTCTGAGGGAACACCAGAGTGTGCTACACCCGGAATAAGCGATGCAGAGCCCCCAGACGAGGCTCTGCATGCACAGACACCTGAGCAGATGCAACAAAGAGGGAAAAAGCGACGCAGAGAGACTGAGAGTTGCAGCCCTCTTACGAGAAAAATTCTCGCTATGCAAAAGCAACTGAATGATCTTGTTCAAGAGCGCGCAGTGTCAAAAAAGAGGCGAGCAACAGGTCGAAATCCTGTTCAGAGTAATGTAGAATCAGATCCTGCGTGAGAGCTGGATACAAGCGAGTGGGAGGAGGAAAGGACGCTTAGGGCAAGGACTAGGATTCCGAAGGATGGAAGCCAGAAAGACTCTGGTTCCAAAGTACAAAGTAGTCGAACCTCAAGTACTATAAAGCGGAGGAGGGGACGGGTATCTGGCTAGAGGTTACTGTCGTAAATTCAACTCTTACGTACCTTGCGCAGCGACCCTGAGAGTTTCGTCGGTATTTAGGCGAAACGTGGTGCTGTTGAGGTAGTAGGGTTAGGGTTTCTGCACAATGGAGCTTGTGTGGGACAGCCGAGCAACAGCACCCCAACAGGCAGCCACTATAAGCAGCAACACTGCAAACTCCTACAAGTGGCCGCAACAGCTTGCGCTCAGCAACTGCGACAGCGTATTCTGCTTTCTTGAAGACTTTGGTGTCATTGTTTGCAAGCAGCACTGCACGGCAGTAGTGAGTCTGGATGCGCATCTCCGTAAACACCATGCTGCATCTGCTGCGCTACGGCGACAAATACTTAAGCGCTTCAGTCGATTTGAGACTGTTGCTCCGCGCGCAATTGAGCTACCAGAGGAGCCCGCACAGCCGGTTGACGAGCTTGGAGAGCCGCTTGATGGTGCGCGCGAGACGTGCCGCTGGATCACCATTAACAAAGATGAGATGCGCAGGCACTGTAAGAAAAGTCACCAGCAAGCTTGGATAGGAGAAAAAAGCTTGCTCTATTGTCTGGTAAAAGTAGAGAGCTTTTTTCACACTGGGGGGCTGCAAAAATATTTTGTTGTTGATTTGGCGGATGTTAGAGAAGTTGAAAATGCCGGGGTCGAAAGCCGCGTTCTTGCACAGCTCGCCGAGTACAGATTGACACAACAAGAAATCGAGGAAGAGCTGCAGACGCTCGATGCGGCTGCGAAGACTGACAAGACCGGGTGGTTCAAGCGTACGGGCTGGCTGGAGTTCTTCAAGGATCGAAATCTCACCCATCTGGCGCATCAAGCCCGCGCACCCAATCGTGGCGAGCACAAGATGAAGCTGGCTGCCGAGCTGACAGAGCGGCTGGTGGAGAGGAGCGTAAAGGGACTGGCTACGCTTCTGAAAGAGATACGGCGCTGGCTGCGGAGTGCGAAACAGAGCGAGGTCGACCCCCGGCCGCTGGCGCGACTGCAGAACCCCGAGAGTCAGGCGACGTACGCTGGCTACATGGTCTGATTTGTCTGCTTCTATTTTCGCATCATCGCAGACGAAGAGAGCCAAATTGACAAGTATTTATTGCAGAAAGATCGGGTTGTTCAGAGCAGCGAGGAGTTAAGTGGCGAGGATGCTGGCACAGAGAGCGAGTACGACGACAGCGACAGAGACAACGATGCTGATAGCGACGGCAATAACAGTGTTATTCCGCAACGCTGACTGCGTAAGAAAGTGCTAACAGACACAATAAAGGACGCGCGTGAATTATTTAGCTAGAGGGAGGATCAGAAGGCGCTGGCGATTCGGCTGTGGATCGCTCTCGACAACGGTGACTGAGCTGCTCAGATTACTGTTCTGCTAGACTCGCTAAGTTCGTTTATACTTACAAACTATGGCAACAAGGCGTTAACAGCTGGATTAGTGCAGTTTCTCGCCGTGCTAGGCATAGACACAGAGACGAAACGCTTGCGCACTGCAAAGAACTACTCTTACATGCTAGCGGGGATGGTGTATTGCGTCCGGGTGCTTGGAGTCGAGAAGCTTCTTCCCGCAGCAGGACGTGATGAGCAGACAGAAGACGACCGCGACAGGTTCTTGGACATGCGCAAGAAGTATCTGGCCGACGGCTCGTACAGTCCGATGAGCGAGATGATTAGTCTGCTGGCATACAGCAAACACGCTGCGCTGAATGAAGGCAATGCTGGCAACGCATACTGGTCACTGGACAAGAAGATCTTCTATCTCAACGGGCGGCCCATTGTCATTGAGCGCTTCCGCCAGATGGCTCAGAGCATGGAAGCCGAGGTAGTAGAGCAGTTTTGGCAGCTGTGTTGGGTTGATGCTGTTGCTGACCGCTTTACTATTGATCTCGCGCAGATTTCAGACGACGTTACGTTCACAACGCGGGGCAGATCTTTTGTTAACAATCCCGCGAACCGTCTGTCTGGTGGACTGGCTTGGATGCTCACAAGAGCCCGAAGTAAGGCGGGCGGCATGCAGCTGCAGACAGCGGATGGCCGGTGGAGAGTCAAAAAGGTGCGGCAGTATCTGCTGCAGGTGGACCGCTTCTTGGAGCTATTGATGGGCTGCGTGCACGTCGAGTATGGACAGCCGGGTCGAGGGTCAGAGATCACGACAATGCGGTACCGCAACGGGCTGCTGCAGGACCGCAACATCTTCATCGTGGACGGTGCCGTCATGACAGTCGTCCGCTATCACAAGTCGCAGTCTCAGTGGGACAAGCCGAAGGTTGTGCCGCGATTTCTGCCGCCGCAGCTGGGGCAGATCATGGCTCTGTACTTGAGCTACTTGCAGCCGTTTCGAGAGTATCTTGTAGTTCAAGTACTAGGTGGCGGCTTAAGCGACTACGTCTGGAGCAACGAGGGAGGGGCGTGGGGCACGGATAAACTTACAAAGGTGATCAAGCGCGAGACAGGCAAGCGACTAGGCGTTCAGCTACACACGCAAGGCTACCGTCACGCAGCCGTAGGCATTGGAAGGGTCAAAGTAGGGGAGTCGTTTGGTAGGGGTTATCAAGACGAGGTTGGAGAAGTAGACGAAGCCGAGGTGGACGAAGATCAAGAGGATATCATCGAGCTGCAGAACTCGCGGACTACAGCAATGGGCGTTGGCAACTACAGTGTGCCGATCGATATTGTCAAACATCTTAGCGTGCGGTCGATAGATGCGTTCCGAGCGCTCAGCATGGCGTGGCACCGCTTCTTAGGCGTAGATGGGCAGACAGATGAGGCGGTGGAGCCGAGCAGTAGGAACAAGAGACGGATGCGGGAGAGCATGTCAGAGCTTGTCGTGTTGCCGAAAGAAAAGGCTGTTCAGGCAGAGGACCCGCGGGCTGAGGCAGTACACAAGGCGCTGCAGCAAGTGTTGGGCAAGCAGGACGTCGGCTTCCGATCTGTTGAGCAGGAACAGGCGCTGTACGCGGTACTGGACAATCAGACGCCGCTTGTTGTAGTGCTTCCGACAGGAGGGGGCAAGAGCTTGCTGTTTACACTGCCGGCTTGCATCGAAGAGGGTGTAACCGTGGTTGTTGTGCCGTACCGGGCGTTGATTGAGGACTTGGTCAAGCGGATCTGCGACTGCGGCGTTGACTGCATAGAGTGGAAGCACGGCGATAGCAACCCGGCATCGGTGGTGGTTGTCAGCGCAGACGTAGCGGGCGACATCACAAGCAACGGCAACTTCTTAGGGTACGCTAGACTGCTGAAGAACAAGGGACTTCTGCGGCGGGTGGTCATTGACGAGTGTCATCTGCTGTTCACATCACGGCACTGGCGAGAGAATTTGCTCAAGGTCAAGAACTTGCGACTGCTTGGAGGCTCACTAGTAATGTTGACGGCAACGCTGCCGCCGGTGCAGGAGACGCAGCTAGAGGCGAGCATGCTGGTGCGGAACGCAACATACATCCGGGCGAGCACAGTGCGGCCGAACGCGCGGTACTTTGTGTCGTGGTGTCTGCACAACAAGCTAGAGGACACGGCGCTGGCGATGTGCAAGCGTTGGGCAGATACACTGCAGCAGACGAAACAGAAGGGGGTAGTGTACTGTTTGAGCAAGGCGCAGTGCGAGCGGATTGCTGAGCAGCTACCGTGTCCGTGCACCGGTCGCCCGGGTACACCGGTCGCCCGCTCTGAGCCTATATAGCAATCACAAAACTGAGGCTACAGAGCCACGTAGAATAGTTATTATTGTGAGATCTTCTGGTGGAGTATTATATAAACCTATGCGACAAAGTTTCTCATACAAAGTTAACGATATTTAGTAGCAGTGCGGCCACTACGTGTGGTGACAGTTAGGCGTGGTAGAGGAGGCTCTGCAGCAACACTACGACTACGGGCACCTCCACCACCACGCTTCTTGACTGTTTTTGGCTGCAATTGGACTGAGGCCTTGCGCTTGCCTTGATTAGGCAATTGGGTACTTTTTCTAGCCTCAAGATCGCGTTTTTGGGCTTCTTTGGCTGCCTTGCGTTCAGCCACTTCTTCTGCCTTCTTGGCGTTGACCTGGTCACGCTCTTCCTTCTCCCTTGCCTGCTGCTCACGCTTCTCTTGTGCAATCTTCTCCTTGTAGAGCTTATTAGCAGCAGCGAGCTTCTTCATCTCTGCTGTTTTAAGCTCCTTTGCCTGCCTCTCACGGTCTGCAACAGCCATACGGGCGCGGGCCTCTCGGAAGGCCCGAGGGGACCACATCATCGCACCTCCGTAATGCTCACGGTGTTGTTGTAAGTCTAGCTGCCTCTTAGGTTGTTTCTGACGCTTCTTCTTCTTACTGAGCTCCTGACGTAAGCCACTTATCTTGTTGTGGGCGAGCTCTAGTTGAGTTGAGAGATGGTGGATAGTTTGACCCAGCTTCCGCGCACCCACACTGCGTGGATCCTTCACCTCCGCCCGCAGGGTACTACATGCTTTGAGCCAGTCCTCTGCAGAATACGCTGAAGAACCAGAGGCAGCTGATACGGCGGTCTCAGGACTATCATGGCGGAATCTATTGAGGATGACGTTGGGATTCACTGGAGAGATTCCAGTCGCATTAAAGGCCTGTTCTACTAAGTCCTTGGTGAACGTAGATACCCAGGCAGGCCAGAAGAGGTTGAAGAAGTCGGCTTTTTCTAGTGGCGATAGACCTTGGGTCTGCTGGAGGTAGTCGTCAAGTTCGTTACTGTAGTGAGATGAGAGACTCTTGAAGCAGACTACATCTAACGGCTGCAGCGTCTGGGTACTGTGGGGAGGCAATATCGCGAGTATTATCCGATTCTGATAACAGTATTCGATAAAGTCCTGTGTCAGGTGGCTCCCATGGCCATCTACAATCAACAGCCGATACCTCAACTGCGCTTTTGCCTTGGTGTATCGATCAAACACCTGTTCAAGCCAAGCTAATCCTATATCGTTGTTGGTCCATCCAGAGGGTGATGAGGCGACGTGGATAGAGTGCTTTCCCACCTCTATATCAGCTACCC